CTTCTTACGCAGCGCAAGTTTGTTTTTAGTAGAGTGCCACGCCCACTCTAACGCCCACAAACCGCCCAAAACTGTGGCTCCTACAGTTTTGATGCTAGAATAACTGACACCCTAACGCCCAAAAACCGCCCACAAACTTCAAAAAATCGTAAATATGAACGTGGATATCTCGGAAACTATCAAAGATAGAGAATTGGGATTTCAGATTTAGATTCCGTAGCCTTATACGCAGCGCAAGTTTGTTACGCGAATATGCCACGCCCACTCTAACGCCCACAAACCGCGAAAACCTGTGACGCCCACAATTTTTATGCTAGATAACAAATTTTAACTGAAATGTATTGGTCTCGTCAATACCTATCGATTGGTCCAAAAATTTGCCACGCCCACTCTAAGATCTTTTATAAAATTCTTTGTATTTTTATGTATATCTATATATATATACTTTTTTGAAAAATCGTAGAAAAAACTTTAATCTTAAATTAAAACTTAAAAAAAAAAGGTTATAAAAATTATCTTCAAGAACGTGTACCTAAAGAGGGACTTTTTCGATTGAAACGCCCAAAAACATGTTGTATTCATTTCATAGCGTAAACTTGTAATTTACACTGCGCTAGTAAACTCAACCCATTTCCGAAATGTAAAACGCAAAAATGTTTGTTTTAAAAAATCAAATAAATTATGTATTTATTTTTATAATGCTAATTAAGCTTATAACAATTGGTTGCTAACTTAAGACTGGATTACTATAGTAGGAACTATAAACGTATGATTGTATGTACAAATGGTTTTCTTTGAGAATGGCAATCAAACAATTCTTATCACTTTTAAGGACTTAAATTAGGAATGAATTGATAAGTCTCTTTGGCTTAGTCGACCTCCTCGACCGTGGGTCCCGAGTAGCCGCCGAAGCCTCCGGCCTGCTGGCCACAGTTGGCTCCTGGGCCACCGGCTGCTCCCGCTCCCCGCCTGCTGATGCATCTTGGTCATGATGGGCGAGCAGTGGCGGGTGAGCTCCTCCAGCTTGTGGTCGAACTCCTCCTTCTCGGCGGTGGTGTTGCCGTCCAGCCACCGAATAGTGTCGTTGCACTTATCCAGGACGGAGGTCTTGTCCGCCTCGTCCAGTTTGCCAGCGGGAGCCTGTTCCACAGACTGCTTCACGTTGAAGACGTAGCTCTCCAGGGCATTTCGAGAGCTTATGCGCTGGCGCTGCTTCTCGTCCTCGTCCGCATACTTCTCGGCCTCGTTCACCATGCGGTCAATCTCGGCCTGAGAGAGGCGTCCCTTGTCGTTCTTGATCGTGATGTTCTTGGCCTTGCCCGTGCTCATCTCCTTGGCGGTGACGTTCAGGATTCCGTTGGCGTCCATGTCGAAGGTGACCTCTATCTGGGGACACCCCTTGGCGCAGGAGGAATTCCGGACAGGTCGAAGGTGCCCAGTGCATTGTTGTCCTTGGTCATCGCACGTTCGCCCTCATACACCTGGATGGAGACTCCGGGTTGGTTGTCCGAGTACGTGGAGAACGTCTTGGTCTGCTTGCACGGGATGCGGCAGTTGCGCTCGATCAGCTTGGTCATCACCCCGCCAGCGGTCTCAATTCCGAGTGAAAGAGGGGCCACGTCCACCAGCAGCACGTCCTGGATTTTGCCGCTCTGGTCTCCGCTGAGGATTGCGGCCTGGACCGCCGCTCCGTAGGCCACCGCCTCGTCCGGGTTAATGGAGAGGTTGAGGCTCTTGCCGTTGAAGAACTGCTGAAGCAGGCTCTGCACCTTGGGAATGCGGGTGGATCCGCCAACAAGCACTATGTCGTGGATCTGGCCCTTGTCCATCCTGGCGTCCGTAAGGGCCTTCTCCACGGGCTGCAGGGTGTTGCGGAAGAGGTCCGCGCACAGCTCCTCGAACCTGGCGCGGCTCACCTTGGTGTAGAAGTCGTGACCCTCGAACAGTGCGTCGATCTCGATGGTTGCCTCGGTGCTGGAAGAGAGCGTGCGCTTGGCCCGCTCCGCCGCCGTCCTGAGGCGTCGCAGGGCGCGAGGGTTAGAGCGCAGGTCCTTCTTGTACTTGCGCTTAAACTCATCCGCCAGGTGGGTGACCAGCCGGTTGTCAAAGTCCTCGCCCCCAGATGGGTATCTCCGGCGGTGGAGCGTACCTCGAACAGCGATCCCTCGTCGATGGTCAGGATGGAGACGTCGAAGGTGCCACCACCCAGGTCAAAGATAAGTACGTTGCGCTCTCCCTTGAGGTTCTTGTCCAGACCGTAGGCCAGAGCCGCCGCCGTGGGCTCATTGATGATGCGGAGTACATTCAGGCCGGCAATGTGACCGGCATCCTTGGTGGCCTGGCGCTGGGAGTCGTTGAAGTAGGCGGGCACCGTGATGACCGCGTCTGTGACGCTCTCGCCCAGATACGCCTCCGCCGTCTCCTTCATCTTGGCCAGCACCATCGAGCTGATCTCCTCGGGGGCAAACCGTTGGCCTCGCCCTTGAACTCCACGCCGATCTTGGGCTTTCCACCGTCGCTGACCACCTTGAAGGGCCAGTGCTTTATGTCCTCCACGATCTTGGGGTCATCATACTTGCGTCCGATGAGGCGCTTGGCGTCGAAGACCGTGTTCCTGGGGTTCATGGCCACCTGGTTCTTGGCGGCATCGCCGATGAGGCGCTCCGAGTCTGTGAAGGCCACGTAGGACGGGGTGGTGCGGTTGCCCTGGTCGTTGGCGATGATCTCCACCTTGCCATGTTGGTAGACACCCACGCAGGAGTACGTGGTGCCCAGATCGATTCCAATAGCTGGCATCTTGTGTGTTTGTGTTTGTGGATGCAGTTGCTCCTTACTTGGTAATGGATAGTTGTGAGTTGTGAGTTCTCAGCTTCCTTCTTGTCTTCAGTAATAGCTTCTTGATTGTAAGGTTGGTAGTTACTTTACTAGTTTACTTTTACTTGCACTTTGTTTCAGATTGTTTAGCTTGTTCAGCTGCGCGTTTGTTTTGCTTAGCTTTTGCTTAGCGATGTTTTCAGTTTGCTTGTTTGAATTGATATGAGGCTAAGAGAACCGCGCGGCCCTATTTATACTCAGGCGCTCTCTTCGCGAACATTCGAGACCGTCTCTCTCGAAACGCCGAGAACTGTGTGCCGTTGCTAGTGCGCCAGAGCGAGATAGCAGATAGAGAGTGCCGGAAAATTAAGAGAGGGTGGAATGAAAATTTCTCGAATTTTCCTTGCCCAAACGAACAAACCTACCGCAACAAAAGGTTTCTGTTTGAGTTTCTGGAAAATTCGCGCGTTTTTGTTTGTTTACATTCAAGACAGCGTACTATTTATAAGCGAGTATAAATATGTCGACTAGCTTCATTTTACTTAAAAGTCTCACACTAGATAGTTCAGAGGTTTCCAAAATTTACTTCATGGCACCAATTTCATTCACTTTTGGCCAAAAATTGGGATTGCATGCACACAAAACTTTAATGAAGGTTTTGGTATGACTTTCCAAATGTACATATGTATGTATGTATGTCCATAAGTATCTTAACTATTCTATCACTTCTGGGTTTAACCGAAACTTCATAAAAAATATTTTGCAAGATCAGAAAGAGTTATTCATTATCTGCACTTTACACTATCAAACAAAAACACCTCTTACCGAGGTAAAAGTAGTGGCGAACGCGCCTTTAACAAAAATTCTGATATTTAAGTTACTTTTTAATTCATCTCATCTAAAGGGATCTTAAAACATTGGCTTCACGTCGTTCGCTTCTTTAAATATCATCTTCAATCTTTTTTTTTAAGTACGTGTAACTTAATAAACTAAATAAATGTGAAACAAAGATTTGAAGAAAATAAATGCTGGTCAGACAGTTTATATCTTTATATAATATCAGGATCACTAGCCGAGTCGATCTAGTCATGTCCGTCTGTCAGTCTGTCTGTCCGTCCGTATGAGCTCGGAGATCTCGGAAACTATAAAGCTAATTGGGAATAAGCAGATTATTAGCGGAGTGCCCACTCTAACGCCCACAACTTTAAAGATTTTGTTGAGGCGTGAATTGAAATTAATTTAATTAGCCAATACTTATCTACCTTCTTTTCTTAGGGATACAGAATTGTAAGAAATATGTAAGAAATAATAAATAAGGTCGCCAAGGAGTTTTGCTCGAAAAAGACAACATGCGAGTTAAAAAAGTGGGATAGTTTTATCCAAACGGGACTAAGAAAAATGTTTCTATGTACCTTAAACTTTCAAAAAGCCCCGACCTCCGATTGTTTTAAAATTTTTAGAGTCTATGTATGTATTTATAACCTTAAAATACATGGATCCTAAAAAAATGGACGCTATCAGCGGTAGGTGGCTTACCCCGTAGGTCTTAAAACAATGGAAGAACGTTGTCTAAATATGTTTGAGTTAGAACCAACTTGGAAAATATTATTGAATTTTCCCCGTAAGTAAGGTTTTTCTTAGCTCTATGCAAGCATTTTGAACGAAACTGAAATTCTAGTTCTCGTGTTCATCAATCTGTAAATATTTTTTTTGAAACACCATAATGATAAACACGGTCAAAACCTTAAACCAATTTTTGGAATTGCTATTCCTAGTACTAGCATTCATAGCTGCTTGAAGTCAAAGATTCAATTTTATTATGCTATACGCGGAGTTTTATGAGAAAGTTTCCGCACATTTGTAGGTCGAGTAAATTAATTGACTACTCGCTTTGTTTATTAAGTATGCTTTTTTTTAAATAAACAAATAAAACCGCCCAATTTTTGGTTTGGTTTGTTTTTGGGCCGGAAAAATTCGAGAAATTTTCATTCCGCCTCCCTTAATTTTCCGACACTCTCTATCTGTTATCTCGCTCTGGCGCACTAGCAACAGCACACAGTTCTCGGCGTTTCGAGAGAGACGGTCTCGAATGTTCGCGAAGAGAGCGCCTGAGTATAAATAGGGCCGCGCGGTTCTCTTAGCCTCATATCAATTCAAACAAGCAAACTGAAAACATCGCTAAGCAAAAGCTAAGCAAAACTAACGCGCAGCTGAACAAGCTAAACAATCTGAAACAAAGTGCAAGTAAAAGTAAACTAGTAAAGTAACTACCAACCTTACAATCAAGAAGCTATTACTGAAGACAAGAAGGAAGCTGAGAACTCACAACTCACAACTATCCATTACCAAGTAAGGAGCAACTGCATCCACAAACACAAACACACAAGATGCCAGCTATTGGAATCGATCTGGGCACCACGTACTCCTGCGTGGGTGTCTACCAACATGGCAAGGTGGAGATCATCGCCAACGACCAGGGCAACCGCACCACCCCGTCCTACGTGGCCTTCACAGACTCTGAGCGCCTCATCGGCGATGCCGCCAAGAACCAGGTGGCCATGAACCCCAGGAACACGGTCTTCGACGCCAAGCGCCTCATCGGACGCAAGTATGATGACCCCAAGATCGTGGAGGACATAAAGCACTGGCCCTTCAAGGTGGTCAGCGACGGTGGAAAGCCCAAGATCGGCGTGGAGTTCAAGGGCGAGGCCAAACGGTTTGCCCCCGAGGAGATCAGCTCGATGGTGCTGGCCAAGATGAAGGAGACGGCGGAGGCTTATCTGGGCGAGAGCGTCACAGACGCGGTCATCACGGTGCCCGCCTACTTCAACGACTCCCAGCGCCAGGCCACCAAGGATGCTGGTCACATTGCCGGCCTGAATGTACTCCGCATCATCAATGAGCCCACGGCGGCGGCTCTGGCCTACGGGCTGGACAAGAACCTCAAGGGAGAGCGCAACGTACTTATCTTTGACCTGGGTGGTGGCACCTTCGACGTCTCCATCCTGACCATCGACGAGGGATCGCTGTTCGAGGTGCGCTCCACCGCCGGAGATACCCATCTGGGCGGCGAGGACTTTGACAACCGGCTGGTCACCCACCTGGCGGATGAGTTTAAGCGCAAGTACAAGAAGGACCTGCGCTCTAACCCTCGCGCCCTGCGACGCCTCAGGACGGCGGCGGAGCGGGCCAAGCGCACGCTCTCTTCCAGCACCGAGGCAACCATCGAGATCGACGCACTGTTCGAGGGTCACGACTTCTACACCAAGGTGAGCCGCGCCAGGTTCGAGGAGCTGTGCGCGGACCTCTTCCGCAACACCCTGCAGCCCGTGGAGAAGGCCCTTACGGACGCCAGGATGGACAAGGGCCAGATCCACGACATCGTGCTTGTTGGCGGATCCACCCGCATTCCCAAGGTGCAGAGCCTGCTTCAGCAGTTCTTCAACGGCAAGAGCCTCAACCTCTCCATTAACCCGGACGAGGCGGTGGCCTACGGAGCGGCGGTCCAGGCCGCAATCCTCAGCGGAGACCAGAGCGGCAAAATCCAGGACGTGCTGCTGGTGGACGTGGCCCCTCTTTCACTCGGAATTGAGACCGCTGGCGGGGTGATGACCAAGCTGATCGAGCGCAACTGCCGCATCCCGTGCAAGCAGACCAAGACGTTCTCCACGTACTCGGACAACCAGCCCGGAGTCTCCATCCAGGTGTATGAGGGCGAACGTGCGATGACCAAGGACAACAACGCACTGGGCACCTTCGACCTGTCCGGAATTCCTCCTGCGCCAAGGGGTGTACCCCAGATAGAGGTCACCTTCGACATGGACGCCAACGGAATCCTGAACGTCACCGCCAAGGAGATGAGCACGGGCAAGGCCAAGAACATCACGATCAAGAACGACAAGGGACGCCTCTCTCAGGCCGAGATTGACCGCATGGTGAACGAGGCCGAGAAGTATGCCGACGAGGACGAGAAGCAGCGCCAGCGCATCACCTCTCGAAATGCCCTGGAGAGCTACGTCTTCAACGTGAAGCAGTCTGTGGAACAGGCTCCCGCTGGCAAACTGGACGAGGCGGACAAGACCTCCGTCCTGGATAAGTGCAACGACACTATTCGGTGGCTGGACGGCAACACCACCGCCGAGAAGGAGGAGTTCGACCACAAGCTGGAGGAGCTCACCCGCCACTGCTCGCCCATCATGACCAAGATGCATCAGCAGGCGGCGGGAGCGGGAGCAGCCGGTGGCCCAGGAGCCAACTGTGGCCAGCAGGCCGGAGGCTTCGGCGGCTACTCGGGACCCACGGTCGAGGAGGTCGACTAAGCCAAAGAGACTTATCAATTCATTCCTAATTTAATTCCTTCAAAGTGATAAGAATTGTTTGATTGCCATTCTCAAAGAAAACCATTTGTACATACACTCATACGTTTATAGTTCCTACTATAGTATTCCAGTCTTAAGTTAGCAACCAATTGTTATAAGCTTAATTAGCATTATAAAAATAAATACATAGTTTATTTGATTTTTTAAAACAAACATTTTTGCGTTTTACATTTCGGAAATGGGTTGAGTTTACTAGCGCAGTGTACATTACACAGTTTACGCTATTTGAAATGAATACAACATGTTTTTGGGCTGTTTCAATCGAAAAAGTCCCTCTTTAGGTACACGTTCTTGAAGATAATTTTTCATAACCTTTTGTTGAAGTTTTAAGATCTTAGAAATAAAAATACATTTTAGAGATTCAAAAGTTTTTTCTACGACTTTTGGAAAATCAAAACAAGGAAGAACGCTATAGTCGAGTACCTCGACTATCAGATACCCGTTACTCAGCTAAATAGAGATATGCAAGTAGCAAAGCGAGATTAAAATGCGCCACCTACCGCGGTATACAGATTTAAGCGTTATGGGCGTTAGAGTGGGCGTGGCAAATTTTTGGACCAATCGATAGGTATTGACGAGACCAATACATTTCAGTTAAAATTTGTTATCTAGCATAAAAATTGTGGGCGTCACAGGTTTTCGCGGTTTGTGGGCGTTAGAGTGGGCGTGGCATATTCGCGTAACAAACTTGCGCTGCGTATAAGGCTACGGAATCTAAATCTGAAATCCCAATTCTCTATCTTTGATAGTTTCCGAGATATCCACGTTCATATTTACGATTTTTTGAAGTTTGTGGGCGGTTTTTGGGCGTTAGGGTGTCAGTTATTCTAGCATCAAAACTGTAGGAGCCACAGTTTTGGGCGGTTTGTGGGCGTTAGAGTGGGCGTGGCACTCTACTAAAAACAAACTTGCGCTGCGTAAGAAGCTCAGGAATCTGCACGCCAAATCTCAATAGCCTAGCTCCCATAGTTTCCGAGATCTCAGCGTTCATCCGGACAGACAGACGGACAGACGGACATGGCTAGATCGACTCGGCTAGTGATCCTGATCAAGAATATATATACTTTATGGGGTCGGAAACGCTTCCTTCTGCCTGTTACATACTTTCCGACGAATCTAGTATACCCTTTTACTCTACGAGTAACGGGTATAAAAAACGTATAGTAAAGGCTTATGGTTTTTAAACGAATATAGCTACAAACACATGCTGTATATATGTCGCTGAAAAGGTAATTGAATATGATAGCCACGCTGCCTTTGCTTAAATTGTTTTAATACAACACTTTTAAAACCATAGCAAAAATTTATTTGTTTAACCTTTTTGGCTATTTTCTCAAAATCGGTTCATAGGACTTTTTTATATCCGTTAGTCGTAGAGTCAAAGGCCCCATAAAGTATATGCATATATTCTTGATTAGGATCACTAGCCGAGTCGATCAAGCCATGACCGTCTGCCTATATGATCGCTGTGATCTGGAAAAGTTACAGTATTGGGATTAGGCATGTAGCGCAAGTTTGTATCAGCAAAGTGCCAAAAGTGTGACTCCAACAGTTCTAATGCTAGAATAAACATTTTAACTGAAATGTATTGCTCTCGTCAATATCCATCAATTGATCCATAAAATATTTCGCCACGCCCACTCTAACGCCCACAAAACTAAAGAAAATCGTCCGTAGAACGCTGATTTCTCGGAAACTATGAAAGCTAGAAAGTGTTTGCGCCGACATTTTCAAAAAAAAAATTTAAAAGACATTTTATTTCGTTCCGCTTGTCAATACCCACCGGGACGCCGAGAATTTTTTAAATCTGACCATAAGTAATTATTTTATCCCGTATCTAACAAGAACATCGTCAATGACGCCACAGCCAGTAGATAAAAGCGAAAAATGTAAAGTAAATAAAATTTAAAAATAATATTTATTTTGAAGTTGGTTAGCTGAGTAACGGGTACACTCGACAATTTCGACATCGGAAATTCAACCTACAACATTTTGCGGGCTTTTATAAGTTATTTAGCACAAAAAGTTTTAGTCGAGGACAAACTTGTAAATGTTTTTCTTTTACTTTTACTTTAAAAAATATCTAATAAGAACTTCTTCTGATAAAAGTAATGTTGCATAGCTTTGGGTACTCAAGGTAAGTATAAAATGTTTTTCATACTGAACTGAAACGGGTTGCACTGTTCATTGCTCAATAATTTCCAACCGGTAATTTTTATGACAAAAAGTGTTATACATGAAAAGTTGAGGAATCTCGTGGGCTATACAGTTTAAAATTTAAAAAGAATTCGTTATCTATTGTGTATAGAGAATGTAACCAAAGGCAGCATGATACGTATAATAAATTACCTTTTCAGCGACATGTAGAACGTCAGTGCAGCATTAAAGTAGAGCTATTTTTTGGATTTCCAGCTAAACAAAGTCGTAGATCAAAAGATTTCTGTCTCGAGCTGTCTCGAGAACCAAAAAGAGATTCATACTAACCCACAAACAAAGGGACAAGCACTTTGAAGAGACCCACAAAAATATTTTTTTGGAATAACTTTTGAACGGAGCATCGGATTTCAACAAATGAGGTAAAAAAAAAAGTAACAAGGAAGAACGCTATAGTCGAGTACCTCGACTATCAGATACCCGTTACTCAAAGGGAAATGGAGATATGCAAGCAGCAAAGCAAAATTAAAATGCGCCACCTACCGGCGGTAGACAAATTTAAGCGTTATGGGCGTTAGGGTGGGCGTGGCAAAATTATTTTTGGATCAATCGATAGGTATTGACGACACCAATACATTTCAGTTAAAATTTTTTATCTAGCATGCAAATTGTGGGCGTCACAGGTTTTCGCGGTTTGTGGGCGTTTAAGTGGGCGTGGCAAACTTTTTTTTAGGTCAATCGATAGGTATTGATGAGAACAATACATTTCAGTTAAAATTTTCTATCTAGCATCAAAACTGTAGGAGTTACAGTTTTGGGCGGTTTGTGGGCGTTAGAGTGGGCGTGGCAGTCTACTGAAACAAACTTGCGCTGCGTAAGAAGCTCAGGAATCTGTACGCCAAATCTCAATAGCCTAGCTCTCATAGTTTCCGAGATCTCAGCGTTCATCCGGACAGACAGACGGACAGACGAAAGACATGCTAGATCGACTCGGCTAGTGATCCTGATCAAAATATATACTTATGGGTCGAACGCTTTTCTGTTACATACTTTCCGACGAATCTAGTATACCTTTTACTCTACGAGTAACGGTATAAAATCAAAGTTTGATATCAACTTTGTGACGAAAAATGATTTGCATTCGACAAATGAATGTACGTATTTTGTATTTGTCTAAAATGTATTCATTCGGTACGTCAATATTCATCTACATGCAAAATGTGCATAAGCAAATAAAGGATCGACGCTAGGTGGCGCAGTGGCGTGTTGTGCAATCTTGGGAACAGTCGCTTTGGTACTTGCATATCTCCATCTCCCTCGCACTCCCCTATAGCGATCATTCTTGTTTTTATTGGCATCATAGGTAAAGATTTTCTGTACGCAGACTTTTGAGGCTAAGATACTAGGGTTCGATTTATTTTGATCTAAGTATTTTTAAAACCAATATAAACAATTCTTATATTAGCAGAGTTTCTGAATTGGAAGTTTTAATATCTGTGTTCTTGTGATTTAAACTAGCCATTTTTATTAACTTGAAGTTTAATCCTTTTTCGGAAAAATTAGTTTTCAATATTATTTTAGATTGTCTCAGTGAAAACTTAAAAAGTACTACTATCTTTTTTATGTTGATCGAATTTCCCACTTGTATTATTGTTCGTAATCCTAACACCAGATTGAAAAAATATTCATTTTTACGAACAAGGCTAAAAGATATTGAGAAATCTGCCCAAATTGAGTCCAAGCTCTTTGCCAGTAGAGTTTAACGACCTTATGTAATTTATTCAATTCTGTATTCGTAAGAATACCGCTGAAAACATATGGATCCATTTTAAAAACCAATATGACAGAAGTACTATAACACATTAAATACATTTTTGAATCGAAATTCTCAATATTGCAGAGTTGTTTGAAGTCAAGGTTCCAATTTTGTAAGCAAATGTTCAAACATAGTGCGAGTACTTACAATTAAGCTACTTGCTTTGTTTAATTCCTAATAATAATGGTAAGCTATCTCTGATTTAAACAAAGAAAAAATTGCGAATTTTCCAGAAACCCAAACAAAAACCTTTTGTTGCGGTAGGTTTGTTCGTTTCGGCAAGGAAAATTCGAGAAATTTTAATTTCCACCCTCTCTTAATTTTCCGGCTCTCTCTATCTGCTATCTCGCTCTGGCGCACTAGCAACGGCACACAGTTCTCGGCGTTTCGAGAGAGCCGGTCTCGAATGTTCGCGAAGAGAGCGCCTGAGTATAAATAGGGCCGCGCGGTTCTCTTAGCCTCATATCAATTCAAACAAGCAAACTGAAAACATCGCTAAGCAAAAGCTAAGCAAAACAAACGCGCAGCTGAACAAGCTAAACAATCTGAAACAAAGTGCAAAGTAAACTAGTAAAGTAACTACCAACCTTACAATCAAGAAGCTATTACTGAAGACAAGAAGGAAGCTGAGAACTCACAACTCACAACTATCCATTACCAAGTAAGGAGCAACTGCATCCACAAACACAAACACACAAGATGCCAGCTATTGGAATCGATCTGGGCACCACGTACTCCTGCGTGGGTGTCTACCAACATGGCAAGGTGGAGATCATCGCCAACGACCAGGGCAACCGCACCACCCCGTCCTACGTGGCCTTCACAGACTCGGAGCGCCTCATCGGCGATGCCGCCAAGAACCAGGTGGCCATGAACCCCAGGAACACGGTCTTCGACGCCAAGCGCCTCATCGGACGCAAGTATGATGACCCCAAGATCGTGGAGGACATAAAGCACTGGCCCTTCAAGGTGGTCAGCGACGGTGGAAAGCCCAAGATCGGCGTGGAGTTCAAGGGCGAGGCCAAGCGGTTTGCCCCAGAGGAGATCAGCTCGATGGTGCTGGCCAAGATGAAGGAGACGGCGGAGGCGTATCTGGGCGAGAGCGTCACAGACGCGGTCATCACGGTGCCCGCCTACTTCAACGACTCCCAGCGCCAGGCCACCAAGGATGCCGGTCACATTGCCGGCCTGAATGTACTCCGCATCATCAATGAGCCCACGGCGGCGGCTCTGGCCTACGGTCTGGACAAGAACCTCAAGGGAGAGCGCAACGTACTTATCTTTGACCTGGGTGGTGGCACCTTCGACGTCTCCATCCTGACCATCGACGAGGGATCGCTGTTCGAGGTACGCTCCACCGCCGGAGATACCCATCTGGGAGGCGAGGACTTTGACAACCGGCTGGTCACCCACCTGGCGGATGAGTTTAAGCGCAAGTACAAGAAGGACCTGCGCTCTAACCCTCGCGCCCTGCGACGCCTCAGGACGGCGGCGGAGCGGGCAAAGCGCACGCTCTCTTCCAGCACCGAGGCAACCATCGAGATCGACGCACTGTTCGAGGGTCACGACTTCTACACCAAGGTGAGCCGCGCCAGGTTCGAGGAGCTGTGCGCGGACCTCTTCCGCAACACCCTGCAGCCCGTGGAGAAGGCCCTTACGGACGCCAGGATGGACAAAGGCCAGATCCACGACATAGTGCTTGTTGGCGGATCCACCCGCATTCCCAAGGTGCAGAGCCTGCTTCAGCAGTTCTTCAACGGCAAGAGCCTCAACCTCTCCATTAACCCGGACGAGGCGGTGGCCTACGGAGCGGCGGTCCAGGCCGCAATCCTCAGCGGAGACCAGAGCGGCAAAATCCAGGACGTGCTGCTGGTGGACGTGGCCCCTCTTTCACTCGGAATTGAGACCGCTGGCGGGGTGATGACCAAGCTGATCGAGCGCAACTGCCGCATCCCGTGCAAGCAGACCAAGACGTTCTCCACGTACTCGGACAACCAACCCGGAGTCTCCATCCAGGTGTATGAGGGCGAACGTGCGATGACCAAGGACAACAATGCACTGGGCACCTTCGACCTGTCCGGAATTCCTCCTGCGCCAAGGGGTGTTCCCCAGATAGAGGTCACCTTCGACATGGACGCCAACGGAATCCTGAACGTCACCGCCAAGGAGATGAGCACGGGCAAGGCCAAGAACATCACGATCAAGAACGACAAGGGACGCCTCTCTCAGGCCGAGATTGACCGCATGGTGAACGAGGCCGAGAAGTATGCGGACGAGGACGAGAAGCAGCGCCAGCGCATAACCTCTCGAAATGCCCTGGAGAGCTACGTCTTCAACGTGAAGCAGTCTGTGGAACAGGCTCCCGCTGGCAAACTGGACGAGGCGGACAAGACCTCCGTCCTGGATAAGTGCAACGACACTATTCGGTGGCTGGACGGCAACACCACCGCCGAGAAGGAGGAGTTCGACCACAAGCTGGAGGAGCTCACCCGCCACTGCTCGCCCATCATGACCAAGATGCATCAGCAGGCGGCGGGAGCGGAGCAGCCGGTGGCCCAGGAGCCAATGTGGCCAGCAGCGGAGGCTTCGGCGGCTACTCGGGACCCACGGTCGAGGAGGTCGACTAAGCCAAAGAGACTTATCAATTCATTCCTAATTTAATTCCTTAAAAGTGATAAGAATTGTTTGATTGCCATTCTCAAAGAAAACCATTTGTACATACACTCATACGTTTATAGTTCCTACTATAGTATCCAGTCTTAAGTTAGCAACCAATTGTTATAAGCTTAATTAGCATTATAAAAAATAAATACATAATTTATTTGATTTTTTAAAACAAACATTTTTGCGTTTTACATTTCGGATATGGGTGGAGTTTAATACTTAAAAAGAAACTAAATAATTTATTTTCCAATTGTATGGAAAATCATGAAGAACTCGGCAGATCTTTAAGGTTTTTGGATGTTCAGAGGGTCCTATATATAGACTTAAATTTTTATTTTTGGGAGAAAGCCCATAGTTTGAATCTAGAGAAGGCTTTGCGCGCAACAGAACCACTTTTGGACAGGAGTTGGCAGCCCCGTCAATCAGCTGTTGGCAGGGAGATGCAGAGCAATCCGAAAACCCGCCTACAAATATTGTTATTTTGATTAGATTCCGGATTACAGAATGGAGCCACCGTACGCCCCGCTAAGTGAATCCTGCGCCAAGGCGCTGGGCGACAAGGTGTACGAAAAACGGAAGCTGGCCTCCCAGGAAATCGAGAAGTGAGTATCCCACTACACGGAGCCCCAAGATTCGTAATTCCAATTGGGAAATTCGCCTCTCCACCAGAATGGTCACGGAATTCAACAACAAGAACAACTCGGCGCAGATCCGTAAGCTGATGAGGTCCTAGCCACGGACTATGCGACATCACGGGATGCAAACCGCCGGAAAGGGGCGCTTATCGGACTCGCTGCCACGGGATTAGGGCTGGGCAAGGTAAAACCATTAGTCATCGGATTTATTAGGAGATGCTGAGACATCTTTTGCTTTCCAGGATTCGGACAAGTACGTCCAGGGCCTGGTGACGCCCATTATGACCTGTCTTTCGGATCCTGACCTGCGGGTGCGCTACTTCGCCTGCGAGTCACTGTACAACGTGGTCAAAGTGGCCCGATCCGCCATCATTCCCTTCTTTCCAGAGCTTTTCGCGCACTATCCCGACTCGTCACCGATTCCGATCAAATGGTTAAGGACGGTAGTGAGTTATTGGATCGCCTACTAAAGGTACTCCTATCATTGACTTCCTAAATATGTTTTGTAATAATACCCCTTTTTCCATAGGACATTGTCACGGAATCCTCGCAGACCTTCAATCTGCAGGCCTTCATTCCTTTGCTGCGGGAGCACATCTATGTGAAGGATGCCTTTGCCCGTCAGTATGTGATCTCATGGATTTCGATCCTGAACGCCGTGCCGGACATTAACATGGTCAACTATTTGACCGAAATTCTGGATGGTCTCTTTGTCATGCTCGAGGACAACACGCCCGAGATCCAGCGCATGTGTGAGACCACGATCAGTCAGTTCCTAAAGTCCATAAGGAACGACTCTTCGTCCGTGCGGATGGAGGACACCATTAATACGCTGATAACCCATGCGCAATCGCCCAATGAGCTAATCAAATCGATTGCCATCACCTGGATCCGGGAGTTTGTCCAGATATTTGGCCCCAATGTGCTGCCCTATGCTAGTGGGATATTTACGGCCATATTGCCGTGTTTGGAGTACAATGTGGAGTCCAAAAGGAGTAAGACAGTTACATGGCAGTAAAATACATCATATATTTATCATATTTATTTTTAGGCATTAAAGAGTGCGCCGTATCCGTTAACAACTCGATGATGTTGCTGGTGTCCACCAAGGAACTGAAAACACAGACGGTGGCCAAAATTGATCTGCGTTCAATTATGGACGTTCTCTCTCAGTATCTTACGCACAACTCCATGCACACGAAGATCGCGGTACTCAAGTGGATCCACCATCTTTTCACCAATTTTCCAAACGAGATGTCCGTGCATGCAAGTAACTTAAATAATAACCTGCTTTCAACTCTGGCCGACAACTCGGATGAGGTAGTTCTCCAAAGTCTATCTGTTTTGGCGGAAATCGTTAATTCTCAGGACAACAGGGGTAAGAAGTTTTCTTTGTGTACTGAATTAAATTGAAATAATTTGTAAATATACTTACAGAGCTTAACGACTTCAACAAATCACACTATCGTAAGTTCTTACTTAGCTTATTGAACCTCTTCAACGAGGAGAAACTCATCTTAGAGAACAGAGCCAGCCTCATTATAAGGTAACTTCACACGGATTTGTTTACTTGATGAGTTTCTAAATAATACATGTATTTTTATTTAGAAAACTGTGTGTGTTGCTGAATGCCGAATATATTTATCGTACTTTTGCGGAAATAATAGCTGAGGAGGTGCCCAACTTGAAGTTTGCATCGACGGTTGTGCGCCTGCTAAACATCATTCTGCTCACCTCAACGGAACTTTTCGAGTTGCGTACCAGCCTGCGAAATATTTCCAACGAGAAATCTGCAGATCTCTTTCAATGCCTCTACAAGAGTTGGGCCCACTGTCCAGTATCCACGCTGTCCTTGTGCCTTCTGGCCCAGAGCTATCAGCATGTGTCCCATTTGGTCACATTATTGTGAGTTATTAATAGAAGGAGTTAATCTGATAGTTTACAAGATGTTTATCTTGCAGTGCCGATGTTGAAATACCTTGGAGTTGCTTACCGAATTGGACAAACTGGTTCAGTTGATAGAGTCCCCAATATTCGCTCCTTTACGCCTCACACTCGTTTCCAAGGCGAATAATTGCGCGGATGCTCAGTACTTGGCACACGCTTTGTTTGGAATCCTGATGTTGCTGCCACAGACAGAAGCGTTTGATACCCTTCGCAATCGCCTGCAATGCGTACCCAACTATTGGGGCCACGATCCCATGTAAGTTATTTCCCTGACTAATAGCTTATGGAATGTAATTTGCCTCTTACCCACAGAGATGAGCGCAATTCGCTGGAGTACAAAAGTGGCATAGATTTCGATGCCTTGGAACAGCATTTTATCAAACTACAGAAGGCACACCGCGAGCAGCGTATTGTACACCGAAAACGGAGCGTAATTACTCCTGAAAGTAATTAGTCCTCTTAAGCATACCGTATTTATATAGCCTGTGATTCAGTGTGCAGTCTTTTTTTCGCCACATGCGTTTTTAATAAATGTGAATCCAACACACCTCATCATTTTGGCAATAGCTTAAATTCCATAGGGAACAAAAAGCTATTTAATAGATTTGTATTTGAACTACATTTTGTAAGAAAATGTTAGTAAGTGTTTGTAAATGTTTAGAATTAGTTTTCTAAGCTTAAATGCCACATTCTCAATAAATAAGACAATCCACTCTCCTAACAATACCTTTTATTTAAATTTTCGAATGCCCGTTGGCAGCGAAGTGCAATGATGCTGATACATTTGCAGAAGGAAGATAGTGTCATCCAGGGTCAGTTCTGCCTTCGACAAGGTCTTTATCCTATTTTTTACCTTATTAAGAATTTCGCACTCGGGTGGTGTGAAAGTCTCCACAATCTGAATAGCAATTAAGCGTTTAAAAATATATATACAAATTTATCTTTAAATAATAAGTACCTCTGCAATATATTCGTCAGTTTCTCCTCGTTCCTTCATTGTTTCAACTATGCTGTCCAACCTTTGCGATTTTTCAATGAGACCCTTGTGCTCATTTTTTTCAAAGTTGGATCGTTCTATTGTGTTATAAAGGGACTTGTAGCTGGCATCCAGCAACATTCTCACGGTCTAAAATTAATAATTAACATTAAAGATATCACACTGATAATAACCAGCTTTACTTACGTCCTTTTCTTTGACCTGGAAGAGATAGAACGCTTTGGCGGGACCATTACTGCCTCCACCCGGCTTTTTAATAATCTTGACATGTATAAACTGTTCCTGGAACAAATTATACGCCAGCGACTTGCCTCTTTGAAGGGATCATGGCCTCCTTCTGCAGATCCTCCTGTTCTATGTATTTCTTGCATCGAATCACTCGAAATATTCTGGCTGCCTTCGATCCAAAGCGTTCCGTGATGACAGACTCAACACAAGCAAAGGCAAGTGACTCGAAGGCATGTTCCATGTCCACTACATAAACTCCGCCACCCATGTCTCCCACTCTCCGAAAGAATCCCAGTGAGTCGTCGGCTTTAAAATAACAAAACTAAATTAGTAAAGTATTACTACTGTATAGCGGACTACACTTACTTATCAGACTTATATATTGGTCCAAGTACTTCATAAGATCCAGGTTGTTTGATTTTCTCTCGATGGCCTGTTTAATTTCCACAAATGTGATCTGGTTGGAGAGTTTCTGAAAACGATTCAAACTATTATAAAATTTAGAATAGGTATAAATAACTTTTAACGTACCCTCTGCCACGGATCCGTTGTATTGTACATAATCTTCAATATGAATCGAAAGCACTCTGCAGCATTTTCACCCAGTTTCCGCTCAATGGCGTCCACCATGATTGTGTCGCGGAAATCCTGATGGAAGCGATCGTAGTTTAGGTTCCACACCATCGTGCTGTCTCTTGCCTCCGTCAGACTGGCCTCTCCTTTTCGTATCTTGGCCAGCAACTGGAGGTCAATATTGGGATGCCTGAAGAAATCGCACTCGTTGCTCTCGAATTTCGGCACATTCTCATCCTGGTCTTCGCCCACAAGAGTTCTGGTCTTTTAATGATGTAGTGATCGGTGACCATTTGGAGGAAGGTGTTGCGGTAGGATTCCGGGCTTTCCGCCTTATTCTCTCCCTCTGCCAGGCACTTGATGAGAATCCCAGTAGCCGTATCCGACCCAGAATTGATCAGCTCCTCGGCGATGGAGGCACCAACATTTCCGTACTTGGTTTGCACCAGATGCACGTAGCTAAAAGAGATATTGGGATTAAGATTTTACCAGTGTTTTAACAATAACAGGGAGGTTGTCCTGGTAGACATGAATAGTTTTATACATAACTCACCGTGGATACCGCAGGAGACAGAGGATATCCTCGCGCCGCAGGGAGTACTCAGCCAGGAAGGGATTCTGTTTGGAGGCGGTAAAGTCCACCAATCTATATTTGACGAGCACCGCCAGGGCGAGTGCCGCCTCCTTGCGCGAGAACTTGGTGGCACTGGTGATCTGTCCCAGGGTCCTCGTGGTGGCCGAGAAGAGGCAGTCGGCCACCGCCTGCACCACCTTGCCGAAGCACTGCTCCAGGATGGCGGAGCTCAGATGCGAGTAGTCCGCGGACATGGTTCCTGTCGGCGGTACCTAGAATTCCATATCAATGTACTTAATAATTGATAATAACTATTTTTACCTGCTGATAATAAGGAACAAACAAATATGAACCAAAACAAAACAGAACCGCGTTGGAGTCAGCTGTTAATCGAAACATATCGATAATTTATCCAATAAGAAATAGAGTCAGAAAAATTTACAAAACTATTTAAAAGCTAAAAATTATTTTAAATTAGAAGAAATAAAACCTTAAAATTATTTTTGTAATCAATTTAATATTTGTTTGAATTGGAAAGTGCTCTTGAGATATGGAATTCTAATATATTTGTTATAAATTAAACTTTGTTATTTATTTTTAAATAGTTTATAATTTACTTTAACAAAATCATAATTTATTTGCGTTTCGTGCGTTATAATATAATTTAAATAAAATTTAAAAAACATCGATAGCACCCTGCAAAACATGACCGATGTTCCCATCGACGTTTTGCCATCACTACTGTAAAAATAAACTTTACACAGGTAGAAGTGTTCCCGTTTGCCTATCTGAATAAACTTAATCTTTGGGGTCTTACCAATGGCCACATGTTGCTCACCCAGTTGCATACGACTTCGAAATTCTGGGGTGAAGCGCCTAAGTCAGCAGTACGCGCGGCCCTTTATTATAAGCTTTATTTTGGCCGCCCCATTCTCCCCATCTTCTAAGGGTACTAAGTACTAAGACCTTTCAGGTTAGAAATTGCGTCAGATAAATGCGCAGGAATCTATTTTTACGCGCTGTTTGGCATTTACAGACCAGTTCTACTTCTAACCATGTCGGATGTGGACTCGGACGGCGAGGCGCCTGGCCAGGAAACGGGCTCCGGCACCAGTGCACTGGATGAGTTCCGGGAAAACTGGCAGCGGGAGCTTCAAGGTCACATGAATAGTGCAGCCCGGAGTCGTTCTGAAGCCGGGGATCCCCTTACGGCGGCCAATTCCAACCTCAGCGAAGCGGATCTGCTGCGCAAGGCGGAGAGCCTCTATAGGACCGCCGTGCTGTTGGAGCAGCGTGGCAAGGTCTACGACGCATTACCCTACTACCGGAAGGCCACGCAGATCGTTCCGGACATCGAGTTCCGGTTCTACGAGCAGCAGAAGCTCAGCGGCGATGCCAGCAAGAAGTACCACAACTTGGCCAGCGATCTGGCCAACAACTGGATCTGGGTCAGCCGGACGCCTCGGAGGGCGGCGAAGAGGTCGTCGACAACCTTTATGAGAAGTTCCAGCAGGACTTGAGGCAGGATAACATCTACAATGGCAAGATGATCGCGTCCAGCCGCGATGCCGGTGTCCTGACCACTGGCCTTCACTTTGCCGACCTACCGCCCGAGATTGTGATGCGCATCCTCCGCTGGGTGGTCTCCGCTCAACTGGACATGCGATCGCTGGAACAGTGTGCCGCTGTGTCCAAGGGTTTCTATGTCTACGCCCGGGATGAGGAGCTATGGAGGCTAGCCTGTGTCAAGTAAGGATATCTTTCAAATCCGAGTTACTCCTTGCTTAACCATACAACTTTCTTCTACAGAGTATGGGGCCACAACGTTGGAACCTTAGAGGCCCAGGACTCGGACATCAGCAACGTCTATTACTCCTGGCGCGACATGTTCATCCGCCGGGAGCGAGTACTCTTCAATGGCTGCTATATCAGCAAGACCACGTACCTGCGAATGGGCGAGAACAGCTTTCAGGATCAGTTCTACCGGCCTGTGCAGTTGGTGGAGTACTATCGTTACATTCGATTCATGCCCGATGGCAAGGTGCTGATGATGACAAGCGCCGATGAGCCGGCGCAGGGTGTCTCCAAGCTGAAGAACTGCACAATCTAAGGCCGGAAATGCTACGGGGTCGCTATCGGCTCTTTGGCAGCACAGTCACTCTAGTGCTGCAGAAGTCGCAATCTCGAGGCCGGGTCACATGCGACAAAGACGCGGCAGTATCATGCCAGTGGAGGAGGACTCCTCGCAGTTCCTGATCGAGCTGCGCATCACAGCATCCAAGCGCCGTTGCGCCCAGTTGGTGTGGTCACACTACACGCTCGTGCAGAACGCAACAAGGTGGACACCAGCTCCGAGTTTGACCTGACGGAGGCCAGATATCCGCCGCTGAGATTCTCAACCGTTAAGAGCTACCACCTGGATGCCGATGCACCTTTAGCCTAAGTTAGATAAGCTTCCTGCAAAGGGGAAATAAAACACTACGATTTGAAACCCTGTTAGAGGGGGAGTGGAAATAACGAGATATTATTAGCAACTATCCTTATCGGAGTGTCTAAAAGCTTACAACGTTCTTAACAACTAGAGCATAAAATCTTCCTAGGACAATCGAGAAGCTTAGCTTTTCCTCTGCAGTTTAAAATTCGTTGCACCAGTCTGCAACCGTAGCAGCTACAGCGAAAGGTCTAATGGCTTTGGATAATGGCCGGAAGCCGGTCTAAGATTCGGACTGCACCACAACATGTTCGTAGCGCATCAGGTCGGGCGTGTCCCAGCAGCTCTTGAGGCAAGTGAAGACCAGCACGTTCCCATACTCGATGGGCGCATTGCAGCCATTCACCTGAAACCGCAGCTTGGGAATGAGTGTGGGCAGCAGCTGCACCTCGCAGATGGTCTCTCCCTTGCAGTTCTGACACTTGGGCAGGGGTTCCGTCAGCGGAGCCACTAGCAACGGCAGCGCGTCCCGGGAGTACCTGAAGTGGAACACCGTAAGGGAACAGTAAACTAAGAGGATAGAAAACCAAGTTTACCTTAATAATTGTCCCGGATTCTGCTGGATGGTAGTGATAAAGTTGTGAAACACTATGTCGCCATGGGCTGGCAGGGATTTCTCGTAGGACTCGTACTCCTCTCCCGGTTCCCCAGATCCGGAGGCACCGCCTGTGGGTGAATGAGTCGCGTCTCCGTCCCTCAGCTTATACTCCTGGTACAGATCACGTATATGGTCCATGGACAGAGCGCCTCCATAGTTCTCGTACTCCTCCACTTGGGTCTTGCTCTCCACATCCACGGCAATGTAGTAGGACTTGAGTGTAAGATCCTTGATCTGCGAAAGCGAACTGGAGGTGTGCTTTAGCAAGGCAACGAGGTCGCGTTCCGGCTTCTTGGGCGTGTCGACCAGCACCAGATCCGTTTCGGGACCCTCGATCTCGGCATAAACAGCTGTTGAGGCTGCACTGGCTCCAGCTCCATCCAAACTGGGAGCGGCGGCCGCTGCGCAGTTGGCATTCGGATCATCGTCGGCGTTCTGGGGAGAGACCATGTCCATTTGATGGAAGCCCGAGATCAGGTCGCTCTCCAGCGAGGTGCTCTCATCCTCGTCCTCGTCCTCATCGCCGCCCATCTTCACCTGCTCCAGCTTGACTGATTCATCCAGTTTGATATCTGCCTTCGCATTGGCGTATTGCAAGGCATTGGGACGCACATTGCCGTTCCTCTCATTCTGCTCGTCGTCGGCGGTGATGTCCATGGCCTCGTCCAACGCCACGGAATTGGTCTTGGCCACATCAATGGTTCCACAGCCACTGTCTCCCCAGTCGTCCGCTCCACTGCACCAGTTGACCGCCTGCAATCCGCCGGACTTGCCCTTCTTCTTCGAGTGGTGCTTGCCAGTGGGCGTGGCCTTGGGCGACTGCTCACTGATCACCTCGAACTGGTGATCCAGGTGCTGGGTGCGCACACAGACCCAGCTCTTGGGATTCTGCGAGCAGGCGGGGCTCATGCATCCAAAGACGTACAGGCTGCGATGGAACTGGGAGCGGTCCAGCGGCGCATACATCTGCACGATCAGCGGACGCACTGCTCCGCACAGCGGGCATGACGGAATGGTAACCTCGTGTCTGGGCCAATCCTGTGGGTAAAAATCAATTTCAATTATCAGCTGTCTCGGTGGAAGTCCGTGTAATCGCCCATCTTACGGGTGTGCCGCCGATTTTGTTGGTGCAGCTGTTCAGGAACTGCTCCTGCTTGGCCGTAACCTCCTCATCCTCGTATCCCAGGTACACCGTTGACTTATTCTTGGCCATTTTTCATGGTTCTATCCAAATTTTCTAAAATTCCGAACCGAATGGTTTTTTATTAGCGATGGGCGAAGTGAATCTTCCTGTGCAAATTGATGATTTCTGATAGTCCTATCGATTTTTAAAAGTATCGAATATTTTTTAATCGAGTATATTTTTTGTAACGGTCAAAAGAGGATTTCAAAATAAAAAAACAGTTTAAATCATTATTAGATTTGTTAATAGTCTTTATATGATTCAGTCATAATTATACTCAAAAGAAACCCCAGAAGGTAAGCCACAATGGTTATATCTTTCATTTCTGATATGATTACAAATTTAGAAATTGGCTGCATCTGAGAACAATTTATTGAATGTTTATTACAATTTCCAAATACGATAATTTTACTTTCAATAAAGTACCAAATATACGGCCAAATTACAACATTGAAAGACTCCCAACTTTTCTTAAAATTCGTTATATATTTCTTATAATACTCCAAATCTGTGGTTTACTAATTTACAATTGCACAATAGCTGCTTAAAATAAATAAACGCACATATACAATACACACATATAAAAACATAGACAACTAGATTATAATTACGTTTTGGAATGCCAACATTAAAATACGTACATTTAGCAACAATAGCGCGCAACAACACTTATTAGTTATTGTCTAGGAAGACGACGCAGTCGCACGGATTTAAAGCACTCCGAGGATTTTAATAAACACGGACAAGTGGCTATACAGCCCTAGCGCCCTAACGAGAACCTGCATCTAATACTCTAGATCCTATGATATCGGGCGGGATTACTTCTCCAATGCCTCCTGTTCGCGGTGCTGCCTCTTGAAGCCCCACTCGACGATTACGAAGGCGATGGTGCCGATGGTTCCCATGACCACCAGGATGCCCAGCTGAACGTACAGTCCGAAGTGCGAGGAGTAGAAGAAGCTGATGGCCGCCGCCACCGACTGGGTGAACTTGAACAGGGCGAAGGCGCCCACGGCATTGTTCACATACTCGCCGCCCAGCATCGAGTAGATCTGGGTGTTGAAGCAGGCATCGCCCAGGCCCAAAAGAAAGGCACAGATCAGCGCAATGCTGGCTCTGGGCGGATCCAGGTAGGATATATCGGTGGTATCTTTGAACGGTGCGCTGTTCGGCAGGTTGACGAAAGTCATGAAGAAGGCCGCCATGTGCATCACATAGCCGGCAATCACGATGGGATCGCGTCCATATCGCGTCGTCTTGTTGCCCAGTATGCCAAAGAGTCCTCCTCCGAAGACCTCGCCGGCTCCAATGCAAATGCCCACCAGGCCAACGATCTCCTTCGGGGTCTCAGCAATTTTCGTGGTGAATCCAATCGCCGATCCAAAAACGCCACTGAAGAATGACAGCTCGAGACCTTTAAAGGTTAAGATATAATTAATAAAATTTAAATGATGTCATTATAAGTTTGATGAGATATTATTTTTATTTTTTTTTTTTTTTTTTTTTTTTTTTTTATATTTATTTTTTACTTCTACCAACCTGTATAAAAGAAAGCCAAGCTGAGGAGCAGCATCTTCTTGGTGAGGAACAATTGTCCTGCGGACTTCAAGGCGTACATGGCCTGTCCGCAGCCAGTGTGCTTCTGCTCCAGTTCGTTGTCGTGCTCGGCATTGTCGGCCATGAATCTCAGGGCGGCCAGGAATACGATGCCAAGAATGGCGATCACGGTGAGCACGCCGATGACCAGATTCCGTGTTTCCTTGTCGATCCTGGTCTTGTCCTGGAACTGGTAGTACACGAAAAGATTGCCGATGAACATGCTGCACTGCAGCAGGGCCCAGAAGACGCCAGAGTTGCGGGAGATGGTCGTGGATTCACTGCAGCGTGCCAGATAGGTTCCCTGACCCGTCCAGGTGATCGAGGCACCCAATCCCAGCACGGCGCTGCCCACGTACAGCAGCACCGTGGATGGGAACATGAACGTGATCATGAAGGCCCTGTAAATCGGAGGACATTAGTTACCAAACTTTATTGACCACTTGAAAGGGGATTGGGGATCAACTCACGTATAGGTCAGTGCTCCCACTACCATAGCCACTCGGGGTCCAGTGAACGAAATGAACGAGGGTGCCAGCCAGTTGGAGAGCGAGAAGAACAGGTAGATGATCGCCAGGCTGGTGTAGCCCTCACCCTTAAAGCTATCATCTTCCTGGGAAATGCTGTCCAGTATGGTTTTCTGTGGGGTACATAGGGTCGAAAAGAGATATGATTAGCATTTTGGAAACGTGCCAGACACATTTTGACGACTGCATGCCAATGAACCGGCAGCAACGCGTTTGTTTATTGTTTTTCTTTAAATGTTATACGGAAAACGTGTTCGCAGTTCAAGTACACAATATCAGGTATTTCCTGTCCGGATACGTTTTCGAGGCAAAATACATCTCCCTAGAAAACCCCACCAAAGCGGATATAATACAATTAAAACATAGTTGGTTTCGAAATACTATCACAATGGTTTTTCGACTCCAAAACAAATGTACTTAGAAATTACACTTCCAACAATCAAGACCTATTTTAGGTTCCTTTGCCTAACCCTAGTCTCGTTAGAGTGGGCGTAGCAAACTTTTTTTGGGTCAATCGATAAGTTTTGACGAGACTAATACATTAAGGCTATAATTTTTGTCTAGCATGAAAATTGTGGGCGTCACAGGTTTGGGCGGTTTGTGGGTGTTAAAGTGGGCGTGGCATATTCGCGTAACCAGCTTGCGCTGCGTACAAGGCTTCGGAATTTAAATCTGAAAACCCAGTTCTCTTTCTTTGGTATTTTCCGAGATATCAGCGTTCATATTTTCGATTTTTTAAAGTTTGTGGGCGTTAAAGTGGGCGTGGTTGGGTCAATCGATGGGTATCGATGAGAACAATAAGTTTCAGTTAATTACTTTTATTCTAGCATTAAAACTGTAGGAGCCAATGTTTTGGACGGTTTGTGGGCGTAAGTGTGGGCGTGGCACCCTGCTGAAATAAACTTGCGCTGCTCAGGAATCTCAGGAATCTGCATGCCTAATCCCAGTACTGTAGCTTTTATAGTTTCCGAGATCACAGCGTTTATACGGACAGACGGACATGGCTAGATTGACTCGGCTAGTGATCCTGATCAAGAACATATATACTTTACGGGGTCGGAAACGCTTCCTTCTACCTGTATCATACTTTCCGACGAAGCTAGTATACCCTTTTACTCTACGAGTAACGGGTATAATTAATAACATCTTGTGTAATGTAGAAGTTACTTAACATACAAGTTTAAAAAAGAAAAGCTATTGAGAATACCTATGACTGAAGCCAATTTTATATATGTATAATAATCGATTAGAGTGGTCCTAACACGCATAAATTGATACATTTAAATAAAAAACCGAACAGCTGAAAAAAATAAATCCAATCAAAACCTTGTCTGCAACTAGATTCAAGTGCAAATTTACAATTCTTGCGAGTGTCAATGGAAAATTACAAGTTGCACATGCGAAACGTGTTTGTGGTTGAGTTCAAAAATTTTCCATTCCAAAGAACGCATCTCGGTGAACGACCTATCGATATGGTTATCTTAGCAAAAAATTCTGACTCTGACTTGATTTCGATTTCTAGCTGCATCAATTAAGTGGCACTGCAAATCGGGTCCGGTCCTCGTGCCCATTTTGAAGTCCAACTTCAGAGGCTTTAACTGATAGTGCTTTAAAAGTGCTCTACAGAGAACTGTGTACTTATATTTTAATAACTAGGGGCTACAAGTACATAAGTGAAAGTCGAGAATTTAATTGTCTGCATTCGAGAAGCGGAACTGATTTGCCAGGAAACATACGGTGTATACGTTCAGTGCCCTTGAGAACTCAGGAACTATTTATAAGTCAACGGAAAATGCTTACAGCCACTTTTGGGACTTCACAATGTTCTAACTGGCTATAATATTTCGAACGTACGTACATTAAAACTCAAGCTAAATAATGTTTATGGCACTGGTATAGTAGAGCATAAAAAGCAAAGAGCTATAGACGTCTGAAAGACGGTGGTGATAAGAAATCTCGAGTTTCAAGTGTAAGTATTCCTTATCACCACCAATGGAGCTCAATGAAAATTTGTTGATGATCTCTTTATTATTGGATTGACGGACATATACACCTCCTATCTAGAGAATTGAGTCAAGTTGTGTGCAAACAAGAGTAGAAAGAAAGTCGAAATGCAATAAAGAAAGTAACGTGCGTACGAGGAATTGCAGGAGAATGTACTGCACAACTTATTAAATCGATCGTCACTTTACTTTGTTTATGTTACGCAAAAACTGGCACAACGACTCACGAAAAACTTCAAAAAATGCGAAACGAGTTTGGTATGTCTTTCCTTACAGAAGGTATAATGACTTTTACTTCAAATTGGTATGCACCAAAAAATGTATTTTTACCAAAAAGTAAATATGTAGCTAGAGGAAAACATTATCGTATTCTTTATTTATAGCTTTAGAAGCTGTATACAAAGTAAGAAATTAAATCGATTATTTGTCTAACTTTATGTTCATTTTGCGACAATATGCCTCCAAATCTTCCATATAATCAATTTCCATATCTTTGATATTCCTTTTTAATCCGGAATGGGTCGGATGAATATTATCACTTAGTTTCTGGCCTCGTGTTATGGTGAACTCTGCTGAATCAAAATTTTCCGTTTCATCTCAAAGGGAGTCAATGAGTTTGTTCGACCATCCGGCGATTCCACTGAAGCTAAGGAACCCTGTTCTCCAGTTGACTCAGATTCGCTTTCATCATTGTTAAAGTCAACTTCGTGCCACGTTCTTAGCCTATTCAACAGTGTTGAAGAACCGATTTTCTTATGAGCCATGGGAATGGGCGTATCCGACCGTAAGGTCTTCATAAATCCGTAGGTGCGTCCATCGGTTGACTCCCTTTTCAGATCAACATTGAAGTCAATATCCTTCTTAAAGTATTTAGCCATTTTGTGGTAGTGGTAAATGTATATTAATATATTGTCAGCTGGATGTTAGTTGTTAAGTGACACTATGTTTGCTGGTAACTAGATCAATTTGATTAAAGCAATGTAAAAATAAATAGAATCTTCTAGGAAAACTTGAATAAAATGTAGAACCCGTATACGAATTATTTGGCAAACTTAATGTGCATTCTGTCACAATATGCCTCGATTTCGTCCATACTCGAACCTCCTGGATCTTTAAAGGCAATAGTTTCGCCAGAGTCTTTTGGATGAGTGAGTTCACTTAGTTTCTTGCCTCGGGTTATGGTGAACTCCGCCTCATCAAATAGTTTCCGTTTAATCTCAAAGGATGTCATTGCTTTCGATTGGCGTGAGAAGGATATTACTGAAGGCAAAGTAGAGGGTAGTCCATCTGATCCCATTTCGCTTTCTATGTTCATCGACACCTTTCCGTGTAAGGAGTGCAATCTCTCCGTCAGTGTAGTGGCACTAATTTTCTTCTGAGCCGCTGGGATGGGTGTATCCGATCTGACTGCCTTCATAAATCCATAGGTGCGAAAGTCGCCCAGCTCCTGTTTGCGTTCGACATTGAAATCAATACTCTTCCTTACGTAGTCCTTCATTTTGTTGCAGTGAAAACGGTAGCTAGACTTAGATATTTATTGTTTTATAAGTTTTGACTTTGTTGATATTTAGTTGTAACCTAAGATATTTATTGGCTCTGATATATTTTTGTGGGACGACTAGATCGATTTTCCAAACAGGAGCTCAAAGGATTTCTTTGTTTCACATAAAAATATTACATTGTTATTTTAGCAGAATGATAATTTTTAAGGCCACTGTAACTTAACTTTTAAATTTAGTATCAGATCACTTATTGTCTATTAGGTCATATTTCAGAATTTCAAGATTTAGGAGGACAGGCTTTTATAAGGCCTATATTAAAGACAGATTTTTTAAAAGTGCAGTCTCTAAGATAGATTTCGAGGGGTTTGTTAGTAGAATTTAATTTAGTAAAAGATCACCTTTGTCAATTAAGTAATATCATAGAATTTCAAGATTTAGGAGGGTAGTTTTATATGGCTTGTATTATGGATTTTTTAAAAATGCTGTCTAAAATCACGAAGTTTTAAGAATTCATATATTACATTTTTATTTAAAAAAAAAGTTGTTAAATAGAATACCCTCTTTTGGATTTTGTTTCTAATTTTTTAAACGTTACATCACTAGCGGCTAATTTCGAGTGTTGAAAATCCCCATTTTCGCTGAGACCATCGTTACTTTATAGGGTGTCCAGAAAACTCGGTCTGGCCAGGCTAGACTTGATTTTCCGCTCTTTTGGTCAGACATTGCTGCACACGACTGCTGGCGGAGAAGGTGGTTTCGTGGGAGGTGGGGTCAGGTGGTTCGGATTTGGATTTGGATTCGGGCAGTGAGTGGTGGGCTCGTCGGCGCACACCCACTTTTTGGTTTGTTGTTGTGCAACCGTCTGGGCGCAGGCGCTCCGCCCGTCCCCACCTCCTCCCTCTCCGGCAGTCGCCCACCGTCTTGGCCAAATTGATGTGTGCATATGTATGTTGGTCAACGTGGCTTGGTTTATTGCTGACGTGGCCTTGAGCCTGACGACTGTGTGGGGGTTTGTGCAACGAACTTGCAATTGCAATGACATTGAAAGAGTTGTGCTGCTCGACGCGTTTTGCATTGGGCATTGCATTTGGTATCGATTGCGCAATCAGGTGGAAAGCGGTTCCAGCGGTCTCTGAAAGTGTTCTGTGCCACTCCAACTATTGCACCATATGAGCCAAGGCCTCGCTTCAAAATTGCTCTCTAATGGACACGGAATACGGGCCGATCGATCGATTGTTGGTCTATAAGTTTGGCTAACTACACTCAAGAAAAAATTATTAAATCTAGTTAAAAATCTGTATTAAAAAAAACACATAACCATATTAATTTAAACTTTGTTTTAAATTTCTGTTTATATTGTGGCTTGTGATTAATCAATTTGTTAAAATATTTATCCCTAAAGAGCATCGGCTTATGGAAACCATTTTTGATACGAACTAGTTTTGTTATCAATAATAAAAACCTCTCTGGAAATATAATCCATTTATTAATGGATATCGGTGACATAAGTACTCAGATAAGAACTAATCTCTAAAATGATTTATATATCTTAATAATAGGTAAGAATTCCCGTTAACAAAAATGATTAACAACTTGTGTAGATTTTTATTTTTCCCTGTGTGGTCTATGAATTTAGTTAACTACGCCAAAGCACGCCCTGATTGGAATTCCAAGTCACTTTTGCTTTTGTTGCTGCTGCCGTAGTAAATTGTTTATAAAGAGAAACACTAACTGGAGGGCAGGTACAAAGACAGAAAAAATGTATTGCGCATGCGCCGCTTGCCTCGCTGAAAGCCCAAAATAAAACCGTAAAGAAAACCATCAAAAAAACAAAATCAAAGGGACACATTAAAACGCTTCAAACCCAATTTTTGTGGTATTTATCAGAAGGTATTCATACAGTGCATTGAACCATAACAAAATGCTTCAAAAAATGAGCTGTTTGCAAAACAATGACAAAGACCAATTTGGTGTTCAGTATGGGGATTCGCGTTTCGGCCATAACAAAAAAGCGTCGCATACGTAATAAGACGAGATAAACCTGAACAAGAACTTTTTTTTCGCATACCCGACAATCCAGTTGGTTAATGAATCCGCACTCACGAAATGGTATATAGTATAAAATAGGTAAATAAGTCTGTTTTCTGGTTTTGCTTTTGCCATCCGTTGGCCTTGATCTTACGGATTTTATTACCGACAATAAATAGTCAGCGAAATAAACCGTTATAATGCAACCAGTCAATGAACGCGTCAATGTAGTTTTATCTATGCCTATCATTACCAATAAGTGTAATACATTGTTTGTATTTGCAAATATTAATTAGGTAATCGCTGTCACTTCATACCAGAAATAGATTGGGAGTTGCCTGTGAATGGGATTATTATCAGCTGGTTCTTGGAAATAATATTGATTCCAATGGAGCGGAATTTGTATAATCATGCCAGCTAGGAAACTACATATATTTATATACTATTTTAATGGAATTAGAATGTCGTTTATCATTTGCTGAAACTGGATTCCATTATCATTTTTTTTTTGGGAAAAAAAGAGTTGATGTATTCGTCACCGGATTTATAAAAAATAATCTTGTATACACTTAAATTTCTTCTTGGAATATAAGCCACTGGAGAATCTCAAGAGTAAAACCTTTCTATACAACGATTTCAGTCCACGAAAGTACAGTAAAGTTAAAGAGAAATAATTGTAAGAATTCGGGAAAGTCGTAAACCCTTATTGGGGTCAACTTTTCTGGTTACATGTGTCTTCCACAGCTGGTACTGCATGATACTGCATACTGATGATAAGTTCTCAAAGCTCAATGGTTTCCCATTGCTCCCAAGGGGCAATCATAAGACAAACAACATTTTGAACTGCTGAAAGTGTGGGTTAGGGGGCAATCATTTAAAGAAAGTTACGAGGGACCTATTCCCCTATTGGGGTCAACATTTCTAGCTCTGTTTGCATTATAAACGATAACTGCTCTATGACTGATGATGAGTACGAGTTCCTTATCAATTGAGGCCCCCTCAGATGTGCTCCACACTTGCACAGCGAACAATGGCCGCCGAATGACTGGTGACCTTTGGAGCAGTACATTAAATCGTAATAATAAGCAACTCCTCGCCACTTTACACCGCCACAAATCAGGGGGTAATTTACGAGCGAACAATTGCGAGAATGAATGGCGGCAATGTTATAACATCCTGTGACGCGGGGCGTTGTGGGTGGGGGTGGCAAGGCCACTACGATGTCTATTGGCAAGGACAAGGACGAAGGTCCAATGGCAAGGATGTCAACAACAACATCAACGCCCACGCATACACACAAATAGAGAGAGAGCGGTGGGCGGGGAAGAGAGCCGGAAAAGAGCGAAGAATCGACTTACCTCTATGTTACACATGGTCTGGAACGCCGTGAAGACGAACATAAAGCCGAAGCCCAGGATGAGAATCATCAGGAATTTGAAATCCATCCTGATGCCGTTCTACAGCAATAGCTATATGTAACTTTTCCCGCCGCGAGTGCAATCAAATAGAATTCAATTAACTTGCCGCGCGCACTGCATTTGCATTTGACGACGTCACAAGAGAGGGGGCGTGAACTGCGACTCTCTCAATTTCAATCTGATAAAAACGTTAAAAATTCCAACAATAGGCAGATTCAACTGGACGCAACTATTTAGCACTTCTCGAAGGCAACGTAATATAACCCAATGCAAATGGTTAGAATACAACACACAACTAAAACACGCAAAAACTCAAAGCAAAACACTGAGCACAAATGTTAAATGCAATGTTTACGCGTCGAGTGCCGAAAGTTGAATGGAACCGCACTTCGAGAGGGAGCGCACTAATAACGGAATTCCCAAAGAAATCGCCATACCGAGTTTTGTATGCCCTACCTAGAGGTGATACAATGAATATAACACCTGATCTCAAGAAATGCAAGTCTTTAACATATTTTTAATTTCGCCATATTAATCTTTAAAATATGATACAAGACAAGATAAATGAAGTGTCATATTTAATTCACCAGAGTAAGACTACTTCTTCAGTTCTTTACATATACATTTCGTACGCTAAGTAAATCTCGGACTGTATCTTACGATTTTTTATAATCTGTCAGTAAAATAATCCCTAACAAACTTTATATATAGATTGCATTTTTATTATACATTTAGACCCCTAAACAAAGATCGTCACTAAGACAATGGACTCTCACTTCATTAGAGTATCAAGAAACCCCAATCTGAGAGAGGAAATGAGAGAGAAAACACCCACACACAGGCAAAAGCAAAGTCGTGAGCGTGATTTCTGACAATAATCGCGCATACCAACTATCGATAGTTCGATGTGGGCGCGGGTACTCGATTGGTTTTATTAACTTAAAAATCATTTATAAAAGTCAAACTCAGATACGCTCCGTCGCAACTTTAAGATGGACGGTTGTTCAGTTTGGAAATTGAGCGACTGTGAAATTTTGACTTGTCCATCGGTCGAAAGTGGGTTGTCTTGGGCGTTAGAAGATGTAAATCCATTGGAAATAGATGTATTCATATTTAAAGGGTTAGAAGAATAGCCATCGTTTTCTTCTGAACATGAAATATGATCTTGACATGGCGTATTCTCAGCATTTTCGGAAATAGAGTTTGGGACATCCAGGAAGACTGCGTTTGGTGCCTCTTGATTGTTTACGTCTTGTGGCTCAAGTTCAGATTGGAAACTGAGCGACTGTGAAATTTTGACTTGTCCATCGGTCAAAAGTGTGTTGTCTTGGGGGTAAGAAGATATAAATCGATTGGAAATAGATTCTTGGGAATTTGATTGTCGAGGAAGGGTAATAGGGTCCTCACATATTTCCATTTGCTCTCCAACGGGTATAACTGGTCCTTGATTGGTAGTTGGTAGTTTATCTTCATCTAAGACTACATAGCGCGTTAAGTACTGTTCCGCCCGCGTGCGCAAGCTTAGAGGACTGCCGCAAAGCCCAAGCACGGAAGCATTATCCACATCGGGTTCCAGTCCAGGGGTGTACCCGGCTGGCTGGACATCCAAGCCGATAGGAGTGGTACTACAAATGGACAAACTCTTCGAAGCTTCAGATCTTTCATCCTCATTAACATCTACTCTGTTATTCATTTCCGACTTGCTGGTAGAGTTCCTAGGAGTTAACGAAAACCCATGACGACAAACGCCTGGCGACATGTTCCGAGAAAACCGCGAACTTAAAGTTCCCGATTGCAATGCCGTATCTGACAAAACTGACTGAAACTCACTAGCGCCGGAAAGCTTGTGTGGATCACTGTTCGTACCACTAGGAACTGGGATATCTGGAGTAGTTGAGCCAGTAGGCCCGAAAAGTGGTTTTGAATCCATGATCTCATTTTCAATCCCCGCCAAGTCGTCCTGTTTGGGACCTGGTTGTGGATGGACAACTTTTCTCTTCCTCTTTTGAATGCGCTTGGTGTTAGTGCGCATTCTTTTACGCATCTTGTCCATTTCATTCCCAGATAGAGATTCCTCACTTAATAACTTGGTGGCTGGCTTCCACGGATCCAAGTGTCCGAGACTCTTCTTTCGACGCTGAAAAATAGAATTTAATGTTATCCTAGCCCGGACATTTCTATTAAATAATTAATGCCAGGGTCATGAAAAAACCTGCTCTTATTATTATAAGGTTTTTGTCATACTTACAGCATCCTGCACTGCCTTCCGTAATGGTTTACCGGGATTACCCGGAACATTTGTCTTCGGATTGGGCAGAGCCCTTCCCAAGCGGCAAAAAACTGGATAGGAAAGTGCATACTTTGCCACTCCAAGTCGCATTAGAATGCCCAGCTTGGTCATGGTGCACAGAGACTCCCTTATCACGTCTTCCATATTGGCGACCGGAACGCAGTTGCGCATTTGGATCTGTGTCTGACGAGTAATATCACTTAAGCGCACAAAATCGGTTCGAGACGATTGCAGGATGCTGAGAGCCTTGAGAACATTACGGTTGATCTTTTTGGGAACCGTAAAGGGGTCCATGATTTCACCAATATGTTAATTTTAATTCGTTGGTTTTTTTCGTATTGTTCTATACGTTAGAAGTGTGTGATACAACTAAATGTGAAGTACTGGCATAAGCATTTAGACATGTTCAGGTTATGGAAAAACCTACTGGGATTTCTTTCCCAGAGGCATTTTCACATTTTATTTAATAACATTTAAGGAAATATCATATGTATAGGTGAAGGTGCTTTTAGTGTTCTAACAGCGATCGTTTATTATATATTTTATATATTAGTTCCTTGATAATTCTTTTTGTCTTTTTGGCTTACGCTAAATACTAAAATCTTTCATTTGCAGGTATTTCTTTTTCTTTGAAACGGAAAGTTTTCCTCCATTTGTATAAATTTTTATATTCTTTAACTGAAAATTTCTCTCAAATTTCAAAGTGACCTCGAGATAACAGTGAATGAAAAGCTCCAATTGCCGTCTATTGTACATCAATATCCAGGTTTTAAGCAATTATATGCATGTATAAATACAAAGTTAGTTTGCGTCTCTCTTAAAAAGCAACGCCAGAGCGAAATAAAAACATTTCCAGAGCTGGTTTAACACAGACGGTATAAAGTTTTCGAGATACAACAAACAGTTATCATCAACGTTTTATCTTAGAATTAATTTAATGGGCTGCATTTTCTCTGTTAGGAAGTTTGTTCCGCGGACATATGCAAAATGGAAAATTAGGTTTTGTTAGCTTAATTTGAATTTGATTGATTTCTTCTAAACCCTCAGCCTCAACCCTCAGCCCTGAGCCTGCCTATTCGCTCTTTTTGTGTGTAATGAGTGCATCCTCAATCTCCTCCTTGGGCTGGTCCACGTCTCCCCATCCCCACGTGGCGTGCGTTCCGTCACCAGTGCGCTTCACACGCTTCTGGATGATGTCCGAGGACACGGACTTCAGGTCGTAGGCCCAGCCGATCTTGGCGAAGAAGTCGATGAAGGCGGTGGTGAAGTTTAGCGAGTATTTGCCGAACTCGGCCGTCTTGTAGTCCCAGGGGAAGACGTGGTGGTAGTTATGCCACCCCTCGCCGAAGGCCAGGATAGCCACCGAGATGTTCTCCGAAGGATTAATGAATCTGCAAATAGTTAAGGCTTGTAAGTACTTGCTCTTAGCGTCGTTCAAGTCCTTGGCACTCACTTGTCGTAGGGACGGCCACCGAATTTGTGGGCAGCACTGTTCACCAGCCAGGTTACATTCAGGATAAAACACCAACGGAACATGGTGGCCACGAACCAAGCGTTCATGAACGATTCACCCCAGAAGTACATGGGCACCGTGGTCGGAATGATGAAGCAGGCAATGGGCATCAACAGCATGTAGTATCTAGGAAAAAGTTTATTTTGAATTAAACATTGCCACAACGATGGTTCCACTTGAAACCTACTTCTTCTGGAACATGAGGACGGGATCGGCGCGAAGGTCGGATAGATCGACTCCCTTTCCCTTGGCCTTCACGTCCGGGTGCTTCTTGCACAGCAGCCAGCCGACGTGCGAGAAGAAGAAGCCACGAGTGGCGTTGTGGGGATCAGCATCAGTCTCCGAGTATTTGTGGTGCACGCGATGGTCACGGGCCCAGTGGTAGGCGGCATCCTGGAAGGCGATGGTGTTGAAGATGACCAGAATCACGCGCAGGGGCCACTTGGCCTTGTAGGAGCGATGCGCCCAAGACGATGGGCACCGGCAGTAATGCCCAGGCCAGAAACGACATATAGGAAATAAGCTGAAATAACCAAACGAGTTGATCTAGTTAGTAAGTTACCATTTACGTTTTTAAAAATATATATACATAATTAAAATAAAATAGGCAAATCATTTTTACAATCGTTGATTTTCAAGTTTAATAGCAGGTGATTTGATCCACGATCAAAACAAGTATAGGCACGTAGAGGTTATCGCATTGAAGGTATGCCCGATCAGCAGTCTATGCCATGTTTGGACGTCTGGACACCCATAAAAACCACTTTGTGAAGGTTATCAGGGCCGAAGCCGTAGATAACCCCATATATTCGCGAGTCTGGCACGCGACAGGAAGATGGCAACCAAGCCATACTAGGTTAATTTTGCAAATGCGTTGTATTTCAAAATTTTCCACTAGTAAACCACATCTAACATATACGTAAAGAGGAACCCTAATGATATTATTTTATGGAAGTGTTTTGAAGATATTGCTATTTAAAGGTCGAAACAGTTTACTCTGAGCAGTGAGCTTCTAAGAAAGTGTTTTTTAATTGAGTAATTATTTTTTCATTAAGATGACCTTTGGCATTGTAGTTAATTTTTTAGGCAAGTTTTTTGTAGCATGAATCAAAGTTCATAGCAACCATGGTTTTAAAACACAATATTCTAAGTAGAGATATTAGAAATCATAGTCTTTCGACAAAACTGGGTAAATAACAATTTAGAAAACTTAAACCAATTGGAATTGTTAATTACTATGGTGTGGTATGGTACTTTGACGTTTAAACCCGTTGGACTCACCTAAGACGGAGGTCTGCCACTTGGCCGAGGTGACCATGAGGTAGGCGCCGTAGAGAGCCGCCAGATGGAGGTATGCGAAGGCGATGATGTTGCGCCAGACCAGCTTCAGTCGGCGCCTCTCCGCCTTCTTCAGCACGGTAATGTCCTTGACGAGTCCACCGTCGGTGGTCTCCACATCGCACTCGAAGAGCACTCCGGTGGAGTCCTCCTGCAGCTTGGTGGGGCTCTGTTCCGAATCGGCGGCGGCGCTAGCCGCGGCGAGCAGCGAGTCCGTGATGGACTGGGCACCGGCTTGGGCGTTGGGCGGCATCTTGCATCAACTGTGGTTGGTTAGAAATAAAAACAAGCGGAGAATAAACATCACTTTAGTAACGAAATAAACAAAAGAGCCATTAATGTGTGAGCCAACTTGGTGGCTTGGGCAATTAGCCAGCCAGCTGAACTTGACACGCTTTGGGGAGGTGATTCCGAGCAGCTCTTTATGGCCCGACCCCAAGGTGTTGATGTGGTCGAGCTGAGTACCCTTTGATATTTCATTCTTGCCTAATGCGGATTCTGTTTTTTAATCGGCTAATGGGAAAAAAATCAATAAATGCTGGCTGCGCGTCCTTGTGTCAGGATTCGCACAGTCCAGCATGAATAATGCAAAAGCCGGTGTGTGGGAACAAGAGCACCAGGTGGATGAGGATGTGGCTGTGGAACATGTGTTCTGAGGGTCACTGGGAACCGAACAGAATGGAACCTTGACTCAAGGTTAGGGAGCAAACGCGGCTGCCATGACACGTTTCGTGGAAAATTCCTTCTCAATCAGCTCTAGCATGCTTTGTTATACAGACGACGCACACCCACAAACACAGGCAAACGATGGAATTCGCCAAATTAACAAGAATTGCAAACTATCCAGCAAAAAGTGTACGGCAAACACTTGACGCGTTCGACGAATTGCACCTGCATGTCCACCCGTCTGTTGTTGTTATTGTACCTGGTTTACACCCGAAAAATATGTTTTGTTCGCCAGGTAGGAATTAACGACAAGCCGTTTGGGTTAACTGGAGTTTTAAAACTGATGTGCCAAAGTTTCTCTCGCTGAAGAATCGCGGCTGTTGGCAAAAAGCTCGCTCGAAAGCTCTAGATTAGTCGCGAAGCTTTTGCAGGTGTGCATGTGTGTGTGGGTGTGGGCTTCTTAATGGAAGATTAGATGTTGGCCATTTTTTACCTATTGCTAGGTCAGGGTTAGATCTGAAATGTCTAGACGCGGCAACGAATCTAATCGGATTCGCGAATTGGCCGCCCTTCACATCCTGTCGCGTGACGACAGCGTGCCCTTATCGTTAGCCACCCCAATCTCCATCCAATCATCACATGTGAATCACCTGAATCACCTGCTAATTGCGGTTTCATCAGAAAAGTGGCTATTACAAAACTGGACAGTCGAGTACTTCGAACCCTGAGATAGGAACATTAACCAATTAAACACGTGAACCTTCGGTCAGGCAAGAGCTTAAAAATCATACGATGCTTAGGGGAAAGACACCAGAAAGGTGATTAGAAAAGTGTAGCGCTGTGGCTTTACCAATGGGGGTCATAATGATTGAGTGGACTATTATCCATTATTATTTAAAAATTGAAATAAATAATTTTATAATTTTATTTAAAATACGTTGGTCTACCAATACAAGAAACTTTAATGATTGCTATGGCTAAATGCACACATTAATTGTATTTTAAATATCTTTTTAGATCAATTTTTTAAGAGGTTTTGGGAACCCCTTCAAAATGCTCTAAACAAGCCCCTGCTTTTCGAGAGATGTGGTAGAAAGAACAAGAATTCCGCATTCGCACAAACATACATACTACATATATTTGTAATGCAAGAACAGCAGATCACAAGCGAAAGCTTTTAACATGGCGAAAGAAAGGGCCAGAGATAGCGAGAGAAAAAGCTAATGCCGCCAACATGTCAACAAAGGCAGTCTACTCTTTTTTAGGCCCAGGAGAGCCCATTTAGTCGAATGCGACCAAAAACCGGTAAAAACAACCACCGAAAAGGCAGCAAACAGATGCGAGTCAGCAAACATTAGCCATTTATCAGAGGCACGCATTGAACTTGAAATGTGATGTGGCCCCTACTTTTGCTTGGTTTTTTTGAAAGCGTGGGAGCTTACACAAGTGAGAAAGAGAGCGGTAATAAAAGCGAAGAACTTAATGGAGAGGGAGGGCGGAGAGAGTAGTTTTCCTATTTTATATTTTTGCGCCCGTTATCACGTTGCGAAAGCGTGATGCTTCACCGAGATATTACACGCAGAGAAAACTTACGCAGCGTTCTAGAGATCTTAAAAAAAATTAATTAAAAAAAAATTGTATAAATTTAAAAAAATTTTTTTTGAAAAACTTTTTTAAAATATTAAAGTGTACAAACAGCTTATACATTTATTAGAGGGTCAAATCTACTCCAAAAATTTGGAAGAAATTTGATTTAGTTAGGATTATTTGTAGGATTATGTTTCTAGTTAAGATTGAGCCCTTATAAGTTAAAAAAGCCATTTAAGATTCTTGAAATAGGTTTGTATGATTTGTTTCCAATAAAGCAAACATATTGTTTACATCTTTGGTTTATCAAACAATCATATTTTGACAATTTGTATTAGCTTTCTAGTTTCAAACAAAAAATTCCCTGTACTGTCACTTTAAAGATTGTCAATCCAGGCTTTTGAAATTCTCAAGCGTCCTTCTATTTACCTAACTATTACTCATGTCGTTAAGTATTTTTTTAAGTACCTTTTTTGTTCTGCTGTCGGTCGTTTTGTTTTGATTTTATATCTGTCAAATTAATATTAGCACTTTATCTAAATTGACAAACAGACTGTAACTGCAAAACTTGTCCGCCGGACATGCGAACTGTAGCGCAAAAGAGTGACAAATGATTTCTGGTAAATTCGAAGCATATAATTTGCAATTTAAGCGTATCCATCTATAATTGCTGTCAAAGTTCATTCACCGTAAAAAAAGAGAAAACGCTCAGCCTAATTAAAAGTCAAACAGGAACATATAGAGGCACGGATAAAGTGAATGTGCCGGGTACAGAACTTTCGACTGCCCTTGGACGGAATAAATTAAGTCGCTATGTACAAGGGTATTTAAAGAAACCAAAATCTAACCTTCCGATAAACAGTGACCGCTTAAAGGAAACCTTGAGAAACGAAGAAACCTACATAAACTCGAGCTAAGATCAAAGAGCCAGAGGGCCCCGAAAACGAAATTCACAAGTCTAAAGTTGATAGCTTTTTGAAAAACTCTTGCGTAGAGTGGCTTTTCTCGATTTTCCTCTTGTCGTTTTACGTAAACACTGTTCCCCGGTAAAAATGTAAATCCTGTTGCAATGGCTCAGGCTCAACAAGTTGCCAGCTGGAAAACCAACCTGTTTGCTTCTCCGGATTCAACTTTTTAAACTCGCACTTTTCCACTACGCACAGTCGGTTGTCCGAAACCTGTGGTTGGGTCTCTTTGGTGTCTTTCAATCTATTTGCACTATATTTCAGCGGAGGAGTGCCAACAGCACACGTCCACTCACTAAACGAACTCGATTTGAACTGACCAACCGTTCGCACTCTTGCCAAAACGAAAACAAATCGATTAGGCAAATCGGCGGGACAACGTCAGAGCTTTTCTCCGCCGTCGTGTGCAGTTGGTGGCTATTTCTCCCCAGGTGCCCAGATTACCGGCATGCACGTAGCCCAATCTACCGCCTAATCTCCGTGAAATTGTAAACATCTGCGAAATGAAACCTACTATCTTATGTATACCCAAAGTAAGCAATTGAATCCGATATAAAACGGAGAAGTTTTTGGGAAAATTGCGGATAGGCTTATCAACAGTACAATTACCAAAAGGTATAAATAGGGCCAGCACATCGCCGTTAAGGTTAGCCTTCGCACTTTGGATCCCACTGCACCTCTGGGATGGATTTTAGCCAATCTAATCGATGTTTCCTGGCTGTTAGCCGGCTCCCCATGATAATTGGTTAGCCGCGAATAGACCTGGCCTCTCATATCTGTTTTGAGATAATTTTACGGTTCTTGTACTTTGTCCGGTCCAAACCAGTTAGCAAGATCAACCTCCTCGACCAATAACTTTACATATTCAACTAAGGACGGACAAAAACAAGGCTGCTTTGCATAATTTTTCTTGTTTCAAAATTTCAGAAGATGAGGTTGAGTGACACGCGAATTTTTTCCTAAAACGTCTAGGCGTTCAGCCTAGCTTCCATCTAATTGCATATTTATGTCATCGCGACAAATGACGAAATGCCCAGTCGTACTGCTTGCGACAAAAGAATTGCAACCCAAGGCTTAAGAAGGTTAAGTTGCGCTTGCTACCTTGACTTGTGAATCAGCAATATAAAACCTAAGGTTCTATTAAATACATTATTTTTCGTATAAAAAACATTCCTAATGTACATCCATATATTAATATGTGTGAATCAAATAACAAAGTGCTCACATAGTGCGCAGTTAAGAGATGAACTTAAAATCTGTAGCAATGTGTGCATTTAAATCAGACGTTTGTAGGTTTGAATGGAATTAAACACTGAATAATTCACAATCTCTTAATCTGATCACCAGATGCTTTACTTGGTAATTCTTTGGACGTCAATTGAAAGAGAATAGAATCTTAAGATTCCAGACAGAAGTACTCACACCCTTCACTGAGTATTCTAACTTAAATACTTTAAAAATGTTTGTATCATTATCACCAAAAAGCAAATTAAAATAAACTATATTTTTCAAAATAAAAGTTGATTATTTATGAATCATAGCAAATACGTTTTCTGTACTTTGATAAAAACTGTGACCTTACTTTTGGATACACGTCAGTAAGTTTTAAATTATTTCTAAGAATTATTCGTACAGGGTTCTAGTAATTCGATCTGATAACCTGATTCCACTTAGAACCCAGTATGCGTAGTTCCGAATGCCCTCAAAAGGGTTAAATCGCTGGGGATTAGAGCATGAGGTGTGACGTTACCGGGGCGTGCGCGCGCTAATTTCCCATGTAAACAAATTTCGGTGCGTTGCACTTGCTTACAGAACTATAATCTATTAAATAAATTTCCATTATATTATAATCGGTGATGTTCTAATCGGTCCTATTCAACACAACAAAATAGACGCCGGCGATCAACGAAATGTGCGATAACGTGCACGCCAAAAATTGCTGACTATGCGTCATAATTCTTATTGATGCCGGGTTGCTTTAATCTTACCCAAATTTGATCCGAGTCCTTAGGATGACTATAGTTTTACGATTTTATCGCCAACTTCCCACGCAAACGCAATCTCCTGTTTTAGTGATGACAATGCAGTCCACGTAGTTATGAGCAAGCAATGTCGATATCGTGTTTTATCGAAATCTATCGGTGTCAACTCTGGCCCTACGTAGGTAACATATGTTATGTAGATACTACGGATTTAACGGAATTTCAAAAAAATTAAAACTAGTTTTTTAAACTTGCAAAAATTAAATTTTGTTGAACATAGTAGTCGGGGATTTGCCTTTCATTTTAAACTTAGCTTTCGTTGACAATTGCTTGATTGTCATGAACAACACTGATTGAATTAATTTTCTAGAGCTATTTGTTTCCCTTTTTAACGAGAAGGTAAGTTATCCCAGGCTAACAGCTTAAAATCGATCGAATTAATAGGAAGAACCCTTTAATAAGAATCAAGGATAATGGCGATTGACCCTTTAATCATGGAGGTGCACCAAAAGCGGGCGGTTAAGTTTCTGTTGGTTTTTTGGGCCAGGATCCTCATAGTGTCCAGCTTCCTGGCAGAGGCCTTGTACACCTACAGCCACTGGCACCTGCAACGGAGTTCGCTGAGCATGACCTGGCACTGTGGCTACTTGGTGGCTGGGACCTACACCAGCCTTCTGGCTACGGCGCAACTGATTGCCTCCCTGCTAATTGTGATCAACAGGCAGATATGTGCGGCCACGGGAATCCTGTGGCTGGCGGCCCATCTGCGAATGGCCGCCACTCCGGCGTTGTGGAGCCTCACCAAGTACATGGAGTTGTGCGGTATGATCAGCGCCCTCCTGCTGATCATGCTGAAGTCCCAACGCCACGCTATTGTCGCGTTCTTGCTGATCACCTACCTGAATTGCAAGGAGCTGGAGCGCTTCCTGTGGCGCATCCTTTACAAGTATGTCCTGAAGCTCCTGCTGGTCCTCATTATGGTGGGCTTCCGGCTGAGGCTCTCCGCCGGACTGTTGATCGCCCTGTTGGCCATCCACTGCATGGATACCCACATCTGGCGGAAAGATGCCCTCGTGGATTACTTATTACCCACCGGGGACGTGCGACGCTTCCACTTTTGGCACAAGGTCTCCGTAGCCGGGGGACTGATCCTCACTACCGTAAATAGGGGAAATCGCCATCCCACGTTGTAAACTGTCAACCCAGGCAAGGATCAGACGAAATCAGAAAGATGTCACAAGAAACCGAATCGGAAATACCTAATTCGGATCTAGAGCAACTGGATCAGCCAGCCACTGGAAGTTTTCATTGCCTTCACACTTATCCGCCTCTGCACATAGCCATCCATGGAATGTCGGCCCTGATCCACACCCGTTTGTCCCAGGCGGCTCTTGACCTCTGCCTTGAGCTCTTGGAGGCGGGGGTCAATCCCAAGACCCTGGCCGAAGTGATCCTGCACGTGTTCGACGTCAAGGAGAAAATTAAGGCACCCACAAGTTACTAGACGTCAATATATGTATTAAAACTTTCCTACAGACACGCTGATTAGTCTTATCACATCCGACCTGCTCAACTCAACCCTCAACCTTGGACGTGATCACCACGAAGAAATCCCTTATTCGATAAGCAATATCAGTTATTATTGGCACTTACTATCATAAAACGTTGATAAATGCGGCAGTTAAATGGTTTCCTTTCTCTAGCAGGTGTTCTATTTTTGAAATCATTTTTGCATACCCTGGTCTCATGCGGTTCCTGATTAAACTTGAGCTTTAACATTTGGTTGATCTCTCCTGTTTGTCTTTGGTTCGATCTTGAAAAAAAATTCACATTATCGGGAAAAAATGCATATTCTTTCTGACTTTGAAATTAACCTAAGCTCGAAAATTCTCTTTAGATTTAGTTTTAAATTGGTCTCTTCCGACCAGGTTAACAAGTTTATTAAAAAACAAGGAAGAACGCTATAGTCGAGTACCTCGACTATCAGATACCCGTTACTCAGCTAAATAGAGATATGCAAGCAGCAAAGCGAGATTAAAATGCGCCACCTACCGGCGGTATACAGATTTAAGCGTTATGGGCGTTAGAGTGGGCGTGGTAAATTTTTTTTTTTAACCAATCGATAGGTATTGACGAGATCAATACATTTCAGTTAAAATTTTTTTATCTAGCATGAAAATTGTGGGCGTCACAGGTTTTCGCGGTTTGTGGGCGTTAAAGTGGGCGTGGCAAACTTTTTTTTGGGTCAATCGATAGGTATTGATGAGAACAATACATTTGAGTTAAAATTTTTATTCTAGCATCAAAATTGTAGGAGCCACAGTTTTGGGCGGTTTGTGGGCGTTAGAGTGGGCGTGGCAAACTTTTTTTTGAGTCAATCGATAGGTATTGATGAGAACAATACATTTCAGTTAAAATTTTTATTCTAGCATCAAAACTGTAGGAGCCACAGTTTTGGGCGGTTTGTGGGCGTTAGAGTGGGCGTGGCACTGTGCTGAAACAAACTTGCGCTGCGTAAGAAGCTCAGGAATCTGCACGCCAAATCTCAATAGCCTAGCTCCCATAGTTTCCGAGATCTCAGCGTTCATCCGGACGGACAGACAGACGGACAGACGGACAGACGGACAGACGGACAGACGGACATGGCTAGATCGACTCGGCTAGTGATCCTGATCAAGAATATATATACTTTATGGGGTCGGAAACGCTTCCTTCTGCCTGTTACATACTTTCCGACGAATCTAGTATACCCTTTTACTCTACGAGTAACGGGTATAACAAGGAAGAACGCTATAGTCGAGTACCTCGACTATCAGATACCCGTTACTCAGCTAAATAGAGATATGCAAGCAGCAAAGCGAGATTAAAATGCGCCACCTACCGGCGGTATACAGATTTAAGCGTTATGGGCGTTAGAGTGGGCGTGGTAAATTTTTTTTTTAACCAATCGATAGGTATTGACGAGATCAATACATTTCAGTTAAAATTTTTTTATCTAGCATGAAAATTGTGGGCGTCACAGGTTTTCGCGGTTTGTGGGCGTTAAAGTGGGCGTGGCAAACTTTTTTTTGGGTCAATCGATAGGTATTGATGAGAACAATACATTTGAGTTAAAATTTTTATTCTAGCATCAAAACTGTAGGAGCCACAGTTTTGGGCGGTTTGTGGGCGTTAGAGTGGGCGTGGCACTGTGCTGAAACAAACTTGCGCTGCGTAAGAAGCTCAGGAATCTGCACGCCAAATCTCAATAGCCTAGCTCCCATAGTTTCCGAGATCTCAGCGTTCATCCGGACGGACAGACAGACGGACAGACGGACAGACGGACAGACGGACAGACGGACAGACGGACAGACGGACATGGCTAGATCGACTCGGCTAGTGATCCTGATCAAGAATATATATACTTTATGGGGTCGGAAACGCTTCCTTCTGCCTGTTACATACTTTCCGACGAATCTAGTATACCCTTTTACTCTACGAGTAACGGGTATAACAAGGAAGAACGCTATAGTCGAGTACCTCGACTATCAGATACCCGTTACTCAGCTAAATAGAGATATGCAAGCAGCAAAGCGAGATTAAAATGCGCCACCTACCGGCGGTATACAGATTTAAGCGTTATGGGCGTTAGAGTGGGCGTGGTAAATTTTTTTTTTAACCAATCGATAGGTATTGACGAGATCAATACATTTCAGTTAAAATTTTTTTATCTAGCATGAAAATTGTGGGCGTCACAGGTTTTCGCGGTTTGTGGGCGTTAAAGTGGGCGTGGCAAACTTTTTTTTGGGTCAATCGATAGGTATTGATGAGAACAATACATTTGAGTTAAAATTTTTATTCTAGCATCAAAATTGTAGGAGCCACAGTTTTGGGCGGTTTGTGGGCGTTAGAGTGGGCGTGGCAAACTTTTTTTTGAGTCAATCGATAGGTATTGATGAGAACAATACATTTCAGTTAAAATTTTTATTCTAGCATCAAAACTGTAGGAGCCACAGTTTTGGGCGGTTTGTGGGCGTTAGAGTGGGCGTGGCACTGTGCTGAAACAAACTTGCGCTGCGTAAGAAGCTCAGGAATCTGCACGCCAAATCTCAATAGCCTAGCTCCCATAGTTTCCGAGATCTCAGCGTTCATCCGGACGGACAGACAGACGGACAGACGGACAGACGGACAGACGGACAGACGGACATGGCTAGATCGACTCGGCTAGTGATCCTGATCAAGAATATATATACTTTATGGGGTCGGAAACGCTTCCTTCTGCCTGTTACATACTTTCCGACGAATCTAGTATACCCTTTTACTCTACGAGTAACGGGTATAACAAGGAAGAACGCTATAGTCGAGTACCTCGACTATCAGATACCCGTTACTCAGCTAAATAGAGATATGCAAGCAGCAAAGCGAGATTAAAATGCGCCACCTACCGGCGGTATACAGATTTAAGCGTTATGGGCGTTAGAGTGGGCGTGGTAAATTTTTTTTTTTAACCAATCGATAGGTATTGACGAGATCAATACATTTCAGTTAAAATTTTTTTATCTAGCATGAAAATTGTGGGCGTCACAGGTTTTCGCGGTTTGTGGGCGTTAAAGTGGGCGTGGCAAACTTTTTTTTGGGTCAATCGATAGGTATTGATGAGAACAATACATTTGAGTTAAAATTTTTATTCTAGCATCAAAACTGTAGGAGCCACAGTTTTGGGCGGTTTGTGGGCGTTAGAGTGGGCGTGGCACTGTGCTGAAACAAACTTGCGCTGCGTAAGAAGCTCAGGAATCTGCACGCCAAATCTCAATAGCCTAGCTCCCATAGTTTCCGAGATCTCAGCGTTCATCCGGACGGACAGACAGACGGACAGACGGACAGACGGACAGACGGACAGACGGACATGGCTAGATCGACTCGGCTAGTGATCCTGATCAAGAATATATATACTTTATGGGGTCGGAAACGCTTCCTTCTGCCTGTTACATACTTTCCGACGAATCTAGTATACCCTTTTACTCTACGAGTAACGGGTATAATAAATTAATTACCTAGCAGAAAAACAATGTAATATTTTAATCAATTTCTTGAATTTTCGCCCATGCCTTTTAAAAGTATTTGTTTTCTGCGTAGAATAATACGAATTTAATCTTGTCATACTGAGCGGAAAACTTAAAAGGGTCCTGATAAAAATCCACCAAATTTTTATACCCGTTACTCGTAGAGTAAAAGGGTATACTAGATTCGTCGGAAAGTATGTAACAGGCCGAAGGAAGCGTTTCCGACCCCATAAAGTATATATATTCTTGATCAGGATCACTAGCCGAGTCGATCTAGCCATGTCCGTCTGTCCGTCTGTCCGTCTGTCCGTCTGTCCGTCTGTCTGTCCGGATGAACGCTGAGATCTCGGAAACTATGAGGGCTAGGCTATTGAGATTTGGCGTAAAGATTCCTGAGCTTCCTACGCAGCGCAAGTTTGTTTCAGTAGACTGCCACGCCCACTCTAACGCCCACAAACCGCCCGAAACTGTAACTTCTACAGTTTTGATGCTAGATAGAAAATTTTAACTGAAATGTATTGTTCTCATCAATACCTATCGATTGACCTAAAAAAAAAATTTGCCACGCCCACTTTAACGCCCACAAACCGCGAAAACCTGTGACGCCCACAATTTGCATGCTAGATAAAAAATTTTAACTGAAATGTATTGGTGTCGTCAATACCTATCGATTGATCCAAAAATAAATTTGCCACGCCCACTCTAACGCCCATAACGCTTAAATCTGTCTACCGCCGGTAGGTGGCGCATTTTAATCTCGCTTTGCTGCTTGCATATCTCCATTTCCCTTTGAGTAACGGGTATCTGATAGTCGAGGTACTCGACTATAGCGTTCTTCCTTGTTTTTTGTGGAGTCACCATCTCATAACGCAAAGTTAGACCGGGTGCGTGTGCATTGCGGCGGGCAATATGAACATGCATGTGTATTTTTCATTAATTGGAAAAATGAGCAGTCATTGGATAGTACAGAATTTGCGGATTTAGCTAGTTCAGCTAAGCGACCATAAAAGTAGGAATAATCAATACAACGACATGGATGTTGATATGGTGGTTTAATCAAGGGTCTTGGTAATCAAATGACCACCGATGGAAACAAATTGCAGCCGGTGTGGTTTAATATAGTTTATTTGGAGTGTGGTTGCTCTCAGCAATTAACCTGATATTAAAATGTAAAAAGAGGACCATTTTTCTATTTTAAAATAGTGAAGTTCCAATACGTCCTATTACATCCGATCTGGTCAGCTCATTCTGGTACAGAAAAATCCCTTCTTCGATGAGCAATATTAGTTATTTGAATGCTCTAAACGAAGATACACGGTCAGTTAAATGGCTTATGAGTCGTTGCTGTCCTTATTTCTTTTAAAGTTAGTGTCGATTTAGAATTTTTCCCCACAGGATAAATTAAAATACGATCTAGTGTGACTTTACTTATACTCATCAATGTAACGATAAACTGTCTGCTTAACCTTTTAAAGCAATCTATTTTATGCCCGGCGAAAATATTTTGAACACCAAAAGAAAAGATATAACCGATTCATCCTTGAACAATTTGTTCCGATAACAGTTATGTATTTGAATAAGTTAGCAATGTCGATTGGATCAGTTTGGAACTGGTAATGAGCGTGATATTTACAAAATTAAATTAAATGACTTGAAACAGTTAATTTTGTTTGGAAAAGCATCACTACTTTTGTTTTGGCTTATCTTCAGGATCTTTACTATCGGCACTCTCAGCAGGCTTCTCCTCCGCCTTCTTCGATTTTTTTTGGGACTTTTCGGCCTGCTTTTGCTTTTCTGCCTCGGCCAGAGCAGCCTCCTGTTCCTGCCTCAGTTTTTCCTTCTGGGCAGCAGCCTCGGCCACTTCCTCATCGTCCCAGTCGGCCATGGAGCGGTCTCGCTTCAGCCATGAATGCGTGGTGTCCGGCTTAAAGGCTGTGGGAAATACATAGGAGTGAGAGAAATAGAAAATCAATGGGACTGGAGCAACTTACTCTGGTTAAACCACTTGATGCCGTTCTGCATGTCCTCAATGATCTCTCGGGAAGTGAACATCACCTCGTTCTGCACCGCCTGATGGAACGTGGACGTCTCGAAAGTGCTCGAGTAGACAGAGTTACGATCGTGGATGAGTGCGCGTTGCGGGAACTTGGCCAGACAAGTGGCCAGCTCCAGGGCGTTGCCCAGTGCTGTTCCCGTGGGCACAATCCGGTTGACCAGGCCAATGTCGTGGGCCTCCTGGGAGCCCACCGGACGTCCTGTGAGTATCAGATCTAGAGCACGGGACAAGCCAATCATGGCCGGCAGGCGAATAGTGCCAGCATCGAGCATTGGCACGCCAAATCGGCGATTAAAGAATCCCAGTACGGCGGACTCTTCCATGACGCGCAGGTCACACATGAGGGCCAGCTCCAGGCCGTTGGCTATGCAGTAGCCATTGATGCCGCACACGACTGGCTTCTTGATCTGGCGCCGCGTGGGACCCACGGATCCCTCAGGTCGCATCAGGATGTCCACGCTAATCTCCTCCTTCTCGTCGGTGCTGATCTCGAGGATGTCAAAGCCGGAGCAGAAGGATCCGCCCACGCCGTAAAGCACCGCTACCGGCGAAGTGTCGTCCGCCTCGAAGTTGGCGAAGGCGTCGCACAGTTGCGAGGCTGTGAGGGAGTCGATGGCATTGCGCTGCTGCGGTCGATTGATGCCGATCAGGGTGATGTTCTTGTCCTTCTCCACCAGTATGTTCTTGGGCGGTGATGACTCGGCCTCCTGGGGCGCAGGATCTAGAATGGAAACGGTTACTACGCATATTCCCACATTATGTCACCGGCTTTTCCGGCAACTTACCTTTATGCAGCGCTTTTGTCGAGGAGAATGTGCGGTGGGCTGTGGTGAAACGTGCTTGCTGGCCCACCTGCTGAGCCACCAGTTTGCCGAATTTGCGCAACATTGTCTATTGCAAAAAAGTTATTAATTGTCCGCGAATAAATACAAAACTAGCGAAAAGCTTACCGAAATATTAAAAACTCGTCAAGTTCCGTAAAAACAATTCAATGGTAATTGTGTTGCAGGGCTGCCACCGCTGGTGTGGTTACTATCTAGCGTTTTCCGCCATATCTAGCTATTTTGAGTATTTTGTTTGACAGGTGAAAGTGTGTGTTATAAGTTAATTTGACTGGTAGGTTTTATGACATTTCATTACTGTTTTTTTATTTTATATAAATTGTGTCAAAAATTTGAATCGAAAATGAATGGTTTGTTACATACATAGACCTTTATTTTAGTTTACTATAATCCAATTTATTCGTTTATCGGCCCGAAAGTAAAAAATATGTTAAGTAATTGATAAAAACTTAACATTTTAAGCTATGTTTTATTGAAATGAAGTAAATAAAAGCCAGAAAATTATTCGCCAATGGGTGGCAACACTGACTAAGTAAATGGCGTTCCGGTGTTTTTACATGGCGTTAGTGCGTTTGGCTGGCGTCTCCTGAAATTGTTGCAATAAATTGGCTTTGGGCATTTATAAAAGATTTTAAGTAAATACAAATAAATCATGGGCGTGGAAATGGACACCAACGAGACGAGCGTGGAACTCACGGAGGCGGAGAACGAGCTGTACGACAGACAAATCCGGCTCTGGGGTCTGGAATCTCAAAAGCGGTATGTGCAAAAAAGCCGGCTTTTAGCAATGGCGCTGTGGTAAATAAAATTAAATGGGAATTTCAGCCTTCGGACGGCCAAGATCCTCATCGCCGGTCTGTGTGGCCTGGGTGCCGAGATCACCAAGAACATAATCCTGTCCGGAGTTAACTCCGTGAAGCTGTTGGATGATAAATCCGTCACCGAGGCGGACTTCTGCTCGCAGTTCCTTGCCGCACGTGATTCCCTGAACACTAACCGCGCCGAGGCTTCCTTGGAGCGGGCACGAGCTCTTAATCCCATGGTGGACATCTCCGCCGACAAAGAACCCTTGAAGAAGAAGACCTTAGAGTTCTTCGCCCAGTTTGATGTGGTGGTGGTCAATGGCGAGACCAACGAGGAGCTGCTGCGCATCGACACCATTTGCCGGGAGCTGGGCGTCAATTCATAGCCACCGATGTTTGGGGCACCTTTGGATTCTACTTTGCCAGTCTCCAGAAACACAGCTATGTCGAGTATGTTCCCAATTCAATATTATTCTGAAACTACCATTTTAAAGTCAAATGAACATTGGAGGGTTTAGTAAAAAGTACTGTACTCATAATATCATTACTCAATTTGTATTCCCAATTAATCCTTGAAGCTTAACGTCATAAGTCTTAAAAACAGATTATTAACCAGTTAATTTGATGTACCATTCACAGGGATGTAATCAACACAAGATCGTATCCAACCCGGATAAGAAAAAGAAGTATGAAACCGTATCCATTCCAACACAGCGCGAAGTGGATTATCCCGGCTACTCTGCATGGCTTGACTTCGATATTGCAGCGCCCAGTTATTCGCGCAAACTAAAACGCAACGGGCCAGGCATTCTATTGCTGAGTGTTCTGCAAAATTCCGGACCACCTACCAGCGCGATCCAAGCTACAAGAGCAGAGAAGCGGACCTGGAACTGCTTCGCGGGATTCGCGACGAACTGTTACCGAACTCTGCCCTGGGTGACGAAGCTCTGGGCCTGATCTTTGCCCAGATCTCTCCTGCCGTGGCGGTAGTTGGTGGCGTCGTGGCCCAAGAGGTCATCAAGGTGGTTACCAAAATGGAAGCACCCCACCGTAACCTCTTTGTTTTCGACCCTGAGACATGTGCTGGATACTTTGAGACCATCGAAGCCAAGTAAATCGATCTACTCTGGGCTTCTATTAAATATCTGAATATCCAATAACACCAAAATGTAAATTTTATTTGTTTTAATGTCCCGTACTTATCAAAAAGCTTAGCTTGGGTTAATCTTAGCGGGGCGTTTAACGTTTAAGGGATGCTGGCCAGGTAGTCCTTGATTGAGGCGGGGTCCAGACGCTGGAATCCGTTCTGATCGCAGATTCCAATCTCAATGTTGTCGGCAGTCATTTTTCCCTCGAAGCCTTCTTTCAGAGTCAGGATAGCGGTGTGGACAGCATCGTCCAGCTCTAGATCTTCGCTGTAGCTGCAAGTGGAAAACATAATTTGTGATTGAAGTGTATTTACTATAGAATTTCAATACTACTAACCGCTTCTCCAGGAAGGTTTTGCCGTTGACTGCGTTCTTGCCCATGGCAGTGGCCTTCCAGGCGAAGTAAGCACCCGAAGGATCGGATTGGTAGAGATATGGGCGACCATTGTCCCAGCCGCAGATCAGTAGGGAAACTCCGAAAGGACGAACACCACTACAGATGCAAATTAGATAGGTTAGCATGGAATACAGTATGGAGGACTGGCCGCATTCTTACCCAGACTGCGTGTACTCCTGCATGAGGGTGGCCACACGCTGCACCAGCTGCGACACAGGAATCGGCTCCTTGTAGGTCAGGTAGTAGGTCTGGGCAATCTTTCGGGCCTGCTTGACCAGCAGGCGGTAGTCCGGACCCATTCCCGAGTAAACCATGCCGATGTGCTTGTAGATCATCTCCACGCGATGCACGCTGTGCTCCTCATAGAGTGGCGACTTGTGTTTGTTCTCTGTGGCAATGACGACGCCGTTGGAAGCTGTGTACAAATGGGGAGTATTAACTGCAAGCGCAAGCCAGATTAGCTTGGATACCAACCCATGATGCCCACGGAGGGAGCTCCGCCGGATACGGCTGCCAATGCATACTCCAGTTGGACGAGTTTCCGGAAGGACTGCAAGCAACCGAAAGTTGTAGTTATTGCCCAGTCATGGCGGCAGGTTAAGTTAACCAAGGCGGAAACCACCCGTTTCTTAATGGCCAACTTGTTTTTCTCACCTGAACGTGGTCAACGAAAAGCTGTAGCGCTCGGTAGCCATATTTCCTGGGCTTCAACAGCAGTAATTTGATGTGTAAAATAAAAAAGCCGACTTACTTTGCACAGAAACAAAAATGACACAGCAGTTCAGAGGTGGGCAAACATCGATGTTTTCAAAGCATCGGATGGAAACATCGCTCGCGCTCAGCTTTTTAGTATTTTTGTGTTTGACGTAAGAAAACGTAAGCATCCGTAAGTGTCGGTGAAGGGAGATTACAACAACATAAGTGTCAGTAAAAAAGCGAGATAGCTTTGCAGTGTGGCCGTAATGAGTACTTGGTCACACACTTCGATATTTTTCCACCGTAGGCGCATCAATTCAAATATGTTATGGAGCTAATTTCGAAAAAGTACCTAGCAGATAATATAGCTTTAAGCATGAATTTATTTTAAAGATATTTTTAATATAATCCTTATAACTGATTGCAACCACTGCGTGATTTTCCATTAATTTTTCAACATCTTATCTTCCTTGACTGTGCTTGCATTTTCTATGAACTTTAGTTTTTTATTTTAATTAGAAGGAACTTTTTGCTGATGAGTTTTTAAGTGCCGATTCAGACTTTGGGAACAAGCAATGGGAACACTTGATTTATGGACGGCCCCCTAGACTATTGATAAGACAGTGCGTAAATAAAGTTTATGTTCCGTAAACATTAAAAAATATGGTACAGTATTTTTATAAAAAGTTTCGTTCTGAGAAACCGAACCACAAAAATCTTACAATCTCTCGATCGAAAATATTTAACAGCTATGTAACTTCATAACAGGAGTTAAAATGACATTTAGCAATAGGCCCTAGCCGATTCCTTAAATTAAATCATCGGGTTTTGTTTAAATTGAAGTTATGAACGAAATATTCAAATTGGTGTCAGTTACAGGTGGCACTTACAGGTGGCAGTTACAGGTGGCTCGAACAGGTGAATAAATAAACAGTTCACAATAATAAATCCGATCGACGGACCTTGCCTTGCCTTGGTAACTTGGAGCGTATCCTGACTTTGTTTGTTCAATAAAGTTTTCAGCACATTCCGTTTCACAGAGGCGAAAAGTTGATTTCTTTTAGCTGAGTAACCCGTAGTCCACCTTAATGCAAGTGTAAAGAACTTCACTTCTCCGTCGCTGCAAATCCAATCCTAGTAAAATATTAAGAAATACCTTTCAACAACTACTGTATAGCATTTGAAGCTCACCCCTTTTTATACCCGTTACTCGTAGAGTAAAAGGGTATACTAGATTCGTCGGAAAGTATGTAACAGGCAGAAGGAAGCGTTTCCGACCCCATAAAGTATATATATTCTTGATCAGGATCACTAGCCGAGTCGATCTAGCCATGTCCGTCTGTCCGTCTGTCTGTCCGTCCGGATGAACGCTGAGATCTCGGAAACTATGGGAGCTAGGCTATTGAGATTTGGCGTGCAGATTCCTGAGCTTCTTACGCAGCGCAAGTTTGTTTCAGCAATGTGCCACGCCCACTCTTACGCCCACAAACCGCCCAAAACTGTGGCTCCTACAGTTTTGATGCTAGAATAAAAATTTTAACATAAGTGTTTTCTTCTCATCAATACCTATCGAGTGACCCGAAAAAAAAATTGCCACGCCCACTCTAACGCCCACAAACCTGTGACGGCCACAGTTTTCATGCTAGATAAAAAATTTTAACTGAAATGTATTGGTCTCGTCAATACCTATCGATTGATCCAAAAAATTTTGCCACGCCCACTCTAACGCCCATAACGCTTAAATCTGTCTACCGCCGGTAGGTGGCGTATTTATACCCGTTACTCGTAGAGTAAAAGGGTATACTAGATTCGTCGGAAAGTATGTAACAGGCAGAAGGAAGCGTTTCCGACCCCATAAAGTATATATATTCTTGATCAGAATCACTAGCCGAGTCGATCTAGCCATGTCCGTCTGTCCGTCTGTCCGTCTGTCCGTCTGACCGTCTGTCCGTCTGTCCGTCTGTCCGTCTGTCCGTCTGTCTGTCCGTCCGGATGAACACTGAGATCTCGGAAACTATGAGAGCTAGGCTATTGAGATTTGGCGTACAGATTCCTGAGCTTCTTACGCAGCGCAAGTTTGTTTCAGTAGACTGCCACGCCCACTCTAACGCCCACAAACCGCCCAAAACTGTAACTCCTACAGTTTTGATGCTAGATAGAAAATTTTAACTGAAATGTATTGTTCTCATCAATACCTATCGATTGACCTAAAAAAAAGTTTGCCACGCCCACTTAAACGCCCACAAACCGCGAAACCTGTGACGCCCACAATTTGCATGCTAGATAAAAAATTTTAACTGAAATGTATTGGTGTCGTCAATACCTATCGATTGATCCAAAATAATTTTGCCACGCCCACTCTAAAGCCCATAACGCTTAAATCTGTCTACCGCCGGTAGGTGGCGCATTTAAATTTCGCTTTGCTGCTTGCATATCTCCATTTCCTTTGAGTAACGGGTATCTGATAGTCGAGGTACTCGACTATAGCGTTCTTCCTTGTTAAATCTCGATTTGCTGCTTGCATATCTCCATTTCCCTTTGGTCCTTTAGCTGAGTAACGGGTATCTGATAGTCGAGGTACTCGACTATAGCGTTCTTCCTTTTTTGATTTTTGTTTGTATTTGGTATTTGTTGTCATGATAGTTGAAATGCATTTTTAGACTATGTTTACTGTATGTGCCATTTTTGAAACTAACAATTTCTGGTCTCTCTCATTTTTGAATTTTGAAAAACGAACATTTTGTAAAAAACAAATTGATTTAATACTTGAAATCAATAATACATTTTTGTACAATCCAAAAAAATATAACCCCTACCGCACTGCATAATTTTGATCCTTAAAATTTCCTTTCTGGAAATCAAACGGTTCGACGCATGTCGGCCCCAAAAATCCCGGGAATATAACGTAAACTTTCGAAATAAATTTTCCAGCGGCCCGGTTATAAAGAAAGCAAGTCCAGCAAAGAGAAGACAAACAATCACAAAAAAATGAGTTATGTTTATGTTATAGCAAGCGAAAATGATTTTGACTTTGTTATTTCAACGATATCTATGGCAGCCTTAAAGTATGCACAACAAATTTGTGGAACGATAGGTAAGTGTAAGAGTTTTATAAGAATGCACAGTGGTCCGGCTTGTATGGGGAGAGCGGCCAAAAATACTTCTAGTTGAGGTAGGGACTTGAAACTTGCACAACATTTTTTTATATTTATCCTAAAATAATATGTAAAAATCAGCCAGATCGGTCAACTATATCATATAGCTGCCATATGAACAATCGGTCTGATATTCAGTTTTTATATGAAAAACTATTGTTTTTTATTTTGATGCAACAATACTTTGGAAATTTTCGTATATAACCTGGGAAACTACAGTAAAAATTTGGATACTATAGTTATAGCTCATAGGAACAATCAGTTAAACGAGTTTCGCGGAAACTATTCGCCTTAAAATAATAATGACAGAAATTATAAATGTAATTAACAAAACGAACATAAAATAAATCAATTTTAATATTACATATATGTGTAGTAACAATTCTACAAATGAATGTTTAAAAAGTTTTTTGCCCGCAATAAAAGGATCAGAACTTAAAATAATCTGTTCAATAAATCGGTATTCGTCAGGACCCTTGACATTTTCCGCTATAATTTAGCCTAAATAATTTAACGTCTTTATTTTTTGCCTCTGCAGCTTCCTCAGAAAGCTCTCCAATTGAGACTATACAATTTTTAATTATGGCACGACCATGTAATAATACTTTATGAACCGATGCAGAAAGGTAGTACCACGGAAATTTAATGATAAGTAGTCTTGCTGTTTCTAGTGCATACTCTTCGAATTTGCAGAATTTATATTGTAGCCTTGAAATGGCTTTCAAAATTGTTGAGCATCTTATTATTAAGTTCTCTTCAACACCTGATATGATACCAGACATATCAGGATTATTAAAAAATGCCCTGGCAGTATTGCCATCGTTAGACGTTCCGCTTCCAGCTGCCTTAGGCTTGTCGACAATTAAGCCCATTTTTGCTCGGAACTCTGATTGAATAATTTTTTTCGTATTAAGAATTTCCTTTTAGCTTCTTCAGAGCGTATTTGCCAAATTTCTTGGTCCAGTCTATAGGATATATGAAGCAAATACTCAAAGAATCGTATGTACGCATGTAATGGCTATAGCCCAAATTCATACCGGTCCTCATGAACATCTTTTTGCAGGCATACATCTAAGTTGTTCATTTGCGTTGGAGTTGCTTCGCATATGTAACATTTTGCTGAGGATGTTTCGCTTAATGCACTACATATTTTCCCATCAATCATCGTGAGTTGCAAAGAATGTTCAAATTTTATTGTCTGATCTTCTAGAAATACCGTGGGCTTAAGCAGGTCAATCTTTTTTTCAAAGTATTTTTCTTCGGCAATGGACAATTCAGTTGTTTCTTTCTTAAATTGAAACCTGACAGGTCAACAGTACCGCGTCGACGATGGTCGTGTATTTTTCCAAGTACAAATAGAATTATTTGTCTTCGAAACAAGCCTTAGGGGTACATATGAGGTTACAAACAAGCTATTATCTGATAGGTCTGTATCTGCTACTTTTTGCTTGTATTCCGCATGGCCATCGAAGCCCCATTTCCCTATTAAAATCAGATTTTGTACAGAATCAGCTCATATATTATAAATAACTTCTTTCTGAAGCTGCAATATACGAGTTGCTGTATGATCTAATAAATTTTGAAGTTCAACTTCAGCGTGGGATTCGTTAACTGTAATGTTATCGGGGTAGCATTTGGTTTTGGCCATCAGTATGTTATTGTAACTAGGTAGTAAATGATACCCGATTTTTAAATTTACAAGCGTATTAATAAATATTGTATTGTATATGTTTTGTTAAATTTGCTTCTACGAAAAGCGATAAAACTTCTTCAATATTAGCTTCGTTGCATAAATTTTGCGTATCGGATGCAGCAGACTCATCGTGTTTTGCAACCTCGGCAATTCTTCGACGTTTCGTCCTTTTGGAGCACTCTGCAAATTTTTTTTTGGACGACCACGAGCCACTGTTGAAGGTTCTTGTTGCGCATCGCATTGTTTCGCAGCTATGGTCTCGTTTATTGCCAA